GTTCTGTTGACGCTCCCGCGGCCCGGGAAGGGCCCCCATGAAGGCCGAAAGTCATGAACAAAAACTTCCCGTCGTGGTTTCTGTTCCGCAGCGCGAAGGGGAGAGCATGCTACGCATGGAATGAATTGAGTAGAAGATGAGGTGTTGGATCCGTGAGTGGATCAGCCTAGACAGTATGATGGTCAGAGGCTTTGATGCCTCCATTGATTGTGGGTCGCCGGGCCTCGATCTGCGCAGCGGGCGGGCCCCGGCCGCGACGGACTCCCCTCGCCTCGCCCCCGAAGGCGCCTCCTGCAGCCTCCATTGGGCGAGGGTCTGGCCCTGGGGGTGTCCGTAATGGTAATTGGAGGGGCGGGGCGGGGGCTGCCCCCGGGTGGGAACTGGTCGGCGGCGGGCGTGGGGGGAGCCCCTCCCCCTCCTCCTCCTCCTCCTCCTCCTCCTCTTCCTCCCCCTCCTCCTCCTCCACCTCCTCCTCCTCCACCTCCCCTTCCTCGTCCTCCTCCTCCTCCTCCACCTCCTCTTCCTCGCCCTCCCTCTCCTCCTCCTCCTCCTCTTCCCCCTCCTGCCCCCCCTTCGAGGTTCGCACTTCGAGGTTCGAGGCTTTCGGGCGTGTTCGTAGTTCCTGGGCGATCTTCCGCCCTCGGGGGGGGCGTTCCAGCGGCGGCGCCTCGCGGAGGGCGTTCCGGGAGTGCCCGGGATCGTCCCGAACGGCCGCCCGCCGGAGAGGCGAGGTATGACCCAAAACCAGATAAGGCGGCGCGCCCGGGGGGGAAGTGATCCGAAGAAGAAGGCCTTTCATCACCACCCACCAGACCACCCCAACCCAACCCGAAGGCTCAGATTTACCTTCGATTTCCAGTGGGGGGGGTCGGGAAACATCGAAAAAACACCTGTGGAATCCTTACCCCCCCCAACCCGAAATTCGGGTCTTCTGGTTGGCTTGGGGTGGTCTGGTAGGTAGTCATTTCATAAGGCGGCGGGGCTCTCACAAGCCCTCCAGCTTTCTGAGAGGCCGTCTGTGTCTTCGGGGAAGACGCAGGAAACTTCCAGGATGGACCCCAAGTAGGTATTAACCTGGATGCCTGGAGTCCCGGGGATATTCACTGGGGTTCAGGATGCCCCACCGGAACATGATACATTGGGTTCCCAATGTTCCAGGAATTGTACCTGGGTTGCATAATGCGCCCCCAGGAACATGATAATTTTGGGTTTATAGTGTTTTGGGACCACGGCTCCAGAACCCCAAATTCATGGTTTTGGGTTGATTCGGTTCCAAGGATTTAAACGATTATTCTCCTCAAACTCCCCCTCACCAGGGTGAGAGTCATAATGCTCGAAATTTAGCCTTGTTTTTTTCGTCCCAGGGCAGTATACACTGGGGTCTTAGCATTCCGGAATGATAGCATTCGAGCGGGGTGGGGTGGATCGGTTTCCTTTATATTCTTTCCCCCCAACCCAGGGTTCCCAGGGAGGTCACTAACCACGGCTTGGCATTCTGAAATAAGGAACCTAGGACCTAGGACTTCATTCTTGAATTCTCATCTTGGAGCTGGGGGGGGGCGACCGACACCTCCGCCACAAGATCATGAATCGAGGCTCACCATCGAATGTTACGACATCGAGGTTTATCGTTTTTGGATAGCCCCCAAGGGTCGACGAGGATGTCGGCCCGCACCTCAAAACTTCTTCCGAAGGCCGGGGGCACTCCCGAGCCTTCCCAAACGGCCCGCCCTTCCTCACTTCCCTCCCGGGGGCCTCGCCGCCGAATGGGGGCACCAGCCCAGCCGGGTGCCCAGTCCCTCTTCTCGGGGTCCGTGTTCAGAGCGCGGGGGTTTCTGCGACCCTCCTCGAAGCCAAACTCAGGTTTTAAACGTCGGTCGGTCGACGCGCGAAACGCGGCACGCAGGGTCCGACTGTTGTGTTTGCCGTCGCCAGCTCGGGCGCGAACATTGACATCTTAGGGTCCCGGGGCGCCGCCACGTCGCGGGAAAAACTTGCGTCTGATCTCAAAGGGGGATGTGCGACCCCAGCTCTGCCCCTGCCCAACCTTCACGGCCCCTCCGTCGTTACGGGAGGGGCTCGTCACCGAAGTGGTCCGTCACGGTCGGTCGTGCCGTGCGTGGTAAAGACGCCAGCAGGGCCTCGCCCCAGCCGAAGCCTCTTTCGGGGGGGCGTGCCAGCGAAAACGTTCGAGGTTGAACCGAAGAGGCAAAGATGGCGCCGCGCGAGCCCCGTGGGCGCCTCCTCTGACGAACGAACAACACACACACCCATACCCATCGGGGGTGTCGAATGGAGGACGACTGGCTATGGGTATGCGTGTGGGTTGTCGGACCCCAGGGGAGGATCCCGTTCGAGCGGGAGGGGGCCATCCGACAACACGCGCCCATAGCTCTTTCCGTCCCCCCTATGGGTATGGGTGTGTGTGTGCTGTTCATTCGGCATCACCTGCTCCTTCAGAACGCCAAGCACGACCGACTTCGCTGGCCAGCTCTGCCAATTCATCAACTCAGGCACCCGAGGATACGATGTTTGTCAATGCGCGGACCCAGAGGCCCCGACCCCTTCCCCGGGCCTGCTGCAAGACGTCCTTGAAAACCTTCTATAGGCAGTTGCCTCCAGGGCGCCGGGGCCGAGCCTCTGGGTGTAGCCAAGCCCCGCATCCCGCCGCAGGGGGGACGGCCCCCCCCGCCCGCCATCGCGCTCTGGCTGCACGTGCCCTGAGATCCTGGCGTCGCAGGGTCTGCCGGCACGAGCGCGCTCTCGCCAGAGTTCGGGCCCCGGGCGCACTGCGTGCGGCAGTGGGCGCCCCGCGCACCGCGGAGGTCCTGCCCTGCCTGGGGCCCTGCCCGCGTGCCGCCGGCTGCTGCGCAGGGCCAGGCTCGACGGCGTGCTCGGGCAGGCGTGGGCTTAAGAGGGCGCCGAGGCGCCCGGCCGCCGGGTCCGCCGTGGCTCCATGCTGCGCCGTCCCCCAAACGACGCGAAGATCGAGACAAAATCGGATCGGGATAACTCGAAATCTCTGAAAATCGGCGGGTTTGGAGGATGTATTGGGCGCCGCGGCCGCTCCAGAGCGTTCCGGAACGCTCTGAGAGCGCTTCGGAACGCTCTGGAGCGATTTATCCCGATCCTAGCCCTGTTTCGTGCTCGGCCACCCCAAGGGCCAGTGGAGCCCACGTGCGCTTGCGTGCCAGCCGTATGCTCGACTTATGAGAAATCAGGGCCGTGCCTTGGCGTGCGTGCCAGTCTTCCACTGTTTCTGACCCTCCCTCCCTTCCGTCTCTTACAGCTGAACATAGAGAGCCCCATTTCAAAGCAGGGCGCTCGCTTGAATGACAGGTTTATTGGGCGGCATCGCGCAGCGCCGAGAACACTGCGCCGCTCTTGGTCGCGGCGGACAGCAGGGGCGTTCGGTAGCAAGTCATGGGAGCGTGGTACACCCTCTTGAATCCGTATTCAGCGCCCATTGGCGTCGATTAGCGTCTGGGAGTCGATGAGATAGCGCCGATTTAGCGAAGACCAGCGTCGATTAGAGTCGTTTTAGCGTCGAGTGGCGACGATTTAGCGTCGACGAGCGTCGATTCGCAAGAGCCGACGAGATGCTGTGGGAGGCTCGCATGAGTTGCCACCGGAGGAGCGAGGACGCCGAAGTCTGAGCCGCCGATGCGGACGACCTCGCCGCCGACGTGCCGGAGCGGTGTGGTGTCTCGGTGCTGGCCACGGACCTCGGCGGCCAGGGGCTCGGGGAGCCCAACGGGCAGCCCCCTGACCCCTAACAGTGGCGGCATGTCATGGTTCCACCTTGGCCGGCACTCGCACGGGACCCTGAAGCGTAGAGGCCAGCACAGCCTTCGAGACAGACCTGTTCACCAGACAGAGGCAAAAGTCTGGACCGCCGCCACAGGTTCATAGGACAGCGGGTCCCCCTGGGCACCCCCACTGAGGATCAGCTTGGGCCCCAGGGAATACCCAGGCTGCAAGGGCTCACAAGAACGAGCCGCTAAGACTCGATTGGCGGGGAGGTCGACTGCAGTGGAGACCCATGCCAAGAAACACCCTGCTTGCCTCCAGGGTGCCCTGGGTTTCTTGGGTTCCGAGGGACACCAAAAATCCATGGACGTCCTGGGGTCTCAGGGTTGGGTTTCTTGTGGAAGGTTTCTTGTGTCGAGCTCTTACTGCACGAAGCTCCAAGCTGGAGGCGCTGCGCTGGTCGCCTGGCGTGCGGAGCTGCCTCTGCACCACCCGCGCCGCCTGTGCGAGTGGGTGCGGCGGAGAAGGAGGAGCAGCCGCGAACAAACGGGGTGGCACCAGTCAAAACCGAAGCTGGGCTCGGTCCGAGCAGCCCCTCCAACGATGGCAGGGTGAGGGGAGGCAGGGAGGAGGAGCGCGGTCTGCAGGAGCGGCAGCCCTCTCTTCGACTCTCCCCTTCCTGCCCCCCTCCTTCTTTCCCCCTCATCCTACCCCGCTTCATCCATCTCCCTCTCTCTCTCTCATGAGATCTCCAATGGCTCTTGGAGGTCCTCCCGAAAGTTCATGATGACATCCGGAAGCGTCATCCTCCCCCCTTTCCCCCACCCTAGAAGGGTTGGGGGGAGGGGGTGCAGAGTGCGGTGGGGAGGAGCGGGGGAAAGGGAGCGCCTGGGCCCTTCGCCCACAACCCTCCTCCGTCCTCCTCCCCCCTCTCGTCTCCGCCCTCCTCAGCTAATGAGGACGACGACGACGACGACGACGACGACGACGACGACGACGACGACGACGCCCCGACAACGACGACGACGACCCACGGCGGCGGTGGCGGCCGTGACCTCGACGACGACTCCGACGATAACGGCGATCACCACCACCACTAAGACGACGACGACGCCGAGGACGCCGCCGACGACGACGACGAAGAAGACGACGACGACGACGACGACGACGACGACGACGACGACGACGACGACGACGGCGGCGACGACGACGGCGACGACTCGCGACGCCCGCCGACGGCCTCTGGGCAGAGGGGGGCGCCGCGGCGCCTCCCCGCCGCGCGGCGGCCCGTGAGGCCGTCCGGGGGGGGGGGCCATGTGCTGCCCCGGCAGGGGCGCGGCAGCGGGCCTGCGGCTGGAGCTGCGGGAGACGCCCCGCCGCCTCCCGGCCCCGCGCAGAGGGGGGGGGCGCCCTGGCAGGGCCGATGGGACGAAGGGTCCTGGCGCCAATTAGCGCAGAGCGGAGCTTGTTCGGAAAGCAATCGGAGGTTCCCGGTGTGTCCTGGAGAATGTCGTTCCCGATTTCGAGGCGACTTTCGCGCGGGTTCTTGTCTGGCCAGGAATGAAGACCAAAAAACAAGTCACGTGAATTTTACTTCGTTTTTCGCTTGTCGTTCCGGGGTTTTTGCATTTACAGAAATCCACGCAAAAATCCGCTGGAGCACATTTGCAAGGTCGGTGCAGTGACGAATGGCTCTGCGCTGGAAAACACGTTGGATAGCATGCTGGATGCCGGAACACCGATGCGACGGCATAATCAACGAAGTAGCGATCGCAGCGATCGCAGGTCGCGGCCATCTTGCCTCGCCCGTCTCTGCCCCGTGCGCCCTCTTTGGCGCCGCGCCGCGTCGCCCGGCAGCCGCTTCGTGACGCACCACGTGCGAGCCCCCGAGGGGTTGGGTCGGGGGAGCGCTAAGACTACAGTTGGTCGGAACTCGGGTGTGCCTGCACTTTTTTGACGAAGGCGTCCTGGACTTGGGCGGACCAGTTGTCGTGGGATGTTTGCAGCGGGAGCTCGCGTCAAATTTCAGACTGGGCCTCGTCATATTCATGCTGGCCTCGCCAAGCCAACCCGAGTGCCCCGAACCCGAGTCTCACGTCTACCCGATCTTTCGGGCACGCGCAGAATGGGGTGGGGGTATAGGGGGGAGGCTGATTAGGAGCACCACTGTCTCTTAGAATCAGAGGAAGAAATGGTACCGATACCGCTGCCCTTCCCTCTTCTTCGCCCTTTTGGGCCTCCTGGGGGGCCCTCGTCGCCACCGCGGGATTCGCCTCGACAGCATGGTCAGAACGCACCCCGGGAGAGGTCCAGGGAGTAGCGGTAGGAGTACCTGTTTGTTTCCCCAGAGGAGGCGGGGGGGCAGGGGGGAAGGCGGGCTTCTTAGAAGCACCCTCGCTTCTCAGGAGGCGCAGGCCTTGTCCACACATGCAAGGCCAGTGGCCTTCTGAGAAGCAGCGTCCTGGTAGGAAGCCTTCCCCTCCCCCCTTTGCCGCCTCGTGCGCGCCGCCCACACGCTCGAGGGGCCCAGCGCCGAGCTCCCAGGAGTCCGCGCGGACCTCCGAACGCGGATGCTTGCGCTTTTTTCTGTGGCGAGGGCTTGGCGGCCGGTGCCGCCGACCCCGGATCGGGGAGCGCGAGGCGCGTGGGATCGGCGGCGGCAAAGAGGGGGGTGACGACCAGGGGGAGTGGGGGGGACATCATGGCGTGGGCCATGGTATATTTCCTCAGATTTCGTGGCGCCTCTTTTTATCTCATTGCATCCCTGAGTCCCCCCCCCTGGGCCGCGCACATGCCGCCAGCCATGGCTTGCACCCCCCCTTCTTGGACCCCCCCCCCTCTTGGCCGCCCCCGATAGGAGGCAAGGGATCGAGGGGACAAGCTCATCCCAGGGAGAGGTGCTGCCCCACGGGGGGGGGGTCACAACCCCCGCCCTCTCCTCGTGGGGCCCGGCGCCGATCCCGAACGCAGACCTCCGAGAGTTTATGTTGATGTTGTTTTTTTCTTCTTCGACAGAAGGCGATGACGATATCGGAGTGAAAGAGCACCATGGCCAAGACCCAAAATTGAATGGTGGAAGCATCGGTGCCGATCTCGGTCGTCGTTCATCCTGGTCATCGTCCATGCGTTGAGCATCCTCGCGAATCGGCGACGGCCGGCATGGAGACCCCGCGCCCTCTTCGCCCAGAGCTAACCAGGCAGCGCTCGCTCGCCCCACCAATCTCCACTCCGCCTTCATCCCTTCCTCTGCCGTTCCACTCGGACCTGCCTCATCTGGAGGCAGCAGGCCAATCCAGCATCTGGCATCCGCTGCCGCTCCCTCCCCCGCACCCCCGCCTGTGCCCCTTTTGTCCACCTGCGTGGTGTCATGGGGCAGCGTCCGTGCCGTCGCGACCTCGCCCGCCCCCTCCGACCTCGAGGGCCTCGGACTGCGTGTTTGGACTGCATGTTGCCGAGGGGCCGCTCGGGGCAGGTCCACCCCGCTGCGAGCGCCGACCAGCCTGGAGGACCTGCGGGCCAGCGCAGCGGGACGGCGGGTGGCACCCCGAGGGGACGCCCCAGAGGACTGCCCCTTGGGGCCCGCCCGATTGGTGCACGCGCGGGGCACGCGGCAGAGATCTCTCCGATCCCTCCTGGGCCTCCCCGACGGGTGCGCGGCAGACGGAGTCCGACGGCTGCGCCGCACCGCCGATGCAGCGGCGAGGCGGCTCGATGCGGAGCCCGACCTTCACCGCGGCGACGGCGCCGACGCCTCGCCGGCGCCGTCCGTGCACAGCCAGTGCACCGCCGATGCATCGCTGATGCGTCGCGTCCCTCCGGCCTGCCCCGCCGCGCCGGCCGCCCTCCGCCGCGCGCGGCGGGGGCCGTGCGCCCCCCCAGAGGCGCTGCGACGAGCCGCGGTCCAGCGGCCGTCGGCGGCCCGGCGGCGGCGGCCCGTACACCGCACTCACATCTATACCCCTGGGTGGGTGTATGTGCGGCCGTTTTTGCGCTGTCATGTGCGCGCATGTGCGCGGCATGTGCCAGTCATGTGCCAGGCCTGTGCGGTCCTTCTTGGATGGACTTCCTACTGTGCACGTCGTGCCCGGGCATGTGCGGGGGCGTGTGCGCTGTGTTTTGATGTACCCATCATACGCACATGCACGCACAGCCCGACGCACATGCGCGCACATGCATGCACATGCGGGAGGTGTTCGAGAATCGTAGATCTGTCATCGGCACATGCACGCACATGCCTGTGCAACCTCTCTTCGGGAGGCCGCGCGGGCCCGCACATGCACGCACATGCGGTGAAGCGCGCGGGCGCACATGCGTGCACATCCCAATGCACATGCACGCTCATGCCCTAGGAGCTGTCTGGGACCCCTGTGCCTCCAATGCCTCCTGGCCTTCGCAGAGCTAACCTGGGGCGTGCCAGGGTTTCCTGAAAGAGTTTGTTGTGCGTTTAGACTCGCCCGCTGCTGGCGGGGGCGGTTATTCGCCCGGTTCGTGAGCTGGCGGTGGCGCGCCCGCCTAATAAAATATTCTCCCGCTCGCCTTCTCAGCTCGGCCGGAGAAGCAGGGATGGGGGGGGGGGAGGTGGAGGGGGGGGGGAGGAGGGGGGGGCGGAGGAGGCGGGCGCCCCCGGCCACTGGCCAGCCTGCCTGTTCGGCTCGGCCAGAGGAGAAGGAGGAGGAGGAGGAGGAGGAGGAGGAGGAGGAGGAGGAGGAGGAGGTGAGAGTTGCGAGGCTGTCTCAGGCGAAAGTGGCTTGACGGCCCGAGCTCAGGGAATCTCGGAATCGCTGGCCTGGCTCGGCCACCGGCGAGCTCGGCCTGTGCGAATACTGTGCGTACCTGTGCAGTGCATGTGCGGGACGTGCAAGAATGCCGGGGCCGGCGTTCGTCTCCGGACGCCGGCGCGTTCGCGTCCGGCCAGTTCCGCGTGAGACGTCGTCGGCAATTTGGAGGCCGACGTGCTTTGACATGAAGTGATCTGGCCACCTTCGCCTGAGACATCCTCGCAACTCTGGTCTCGGAGATGCCCTGCCCCATGGTGGCCCGGCCACTTTCGCTTGAGACATCCTCGGGACTCTGGGTTTCGAGACGCCCTGAGCTGAGGTGGTTAGACCACTTTCGCATGAGACATCCTCGCAACTCTGACCTCAGAGATCTCCTGCCCCATGCTGGTCAGGCCACGGTCGCCTGAGACATCCTCGCAAGTCTCGATTCCGATATGCCCCGAGCTGAGGTGGTCAGCCACTGTCGCCTGAGACATCCTCGCAACCCTGATCTCAATGATGCCCTGCTCGATAGTGTCTCGGCCCCTTTCGCCTGAGACATCCTCGGAACTCTGGGTTCCGAGACGCCCTGAGTTGAGGTGGTTAGACCACTTTCGCTTTAGACATCCTCGCCCGAGATGCCCTGAGTTGAGCTGTTCAGGCCACTTTTGCCTGAGACATCCTCGCAACTCTGACCTCAATGATGCCCTGCTCCATAGTGTCTCGGCCTTTTTCGCCTGAGACCCTCGCAACTCTGGGTTCTGAGATGCCCTGAGCAGGTGGTCAGGCCAGTCCTGCCTGAGACATCCTCGCAACTCTGGGCTCCGAGATGCCCTGGGCTGAGGTGGTCAGACCACTCTCCCCAGAGACATCCTCGCAACTCTGACCTCAGAGATCTCCTGCCCCATGGTGGTCAGGCCACTTTCGCTTGAGACATCCTCACAACTCAGACCTCGGAGGTGTCCTGCCCCATGGTCGTCTGGTCACCTTGACCAGCGACATCCTCGCCACTCTGGTTTCCAAGATGCCCTGCCCCATGGTGATCCGGCCACGCTTGCCTGAGACATCCTCGGAACTCTGGGTTGCGAAATGCCCCGAGCTCAGGTGGTCAGGCCACTATCGCCTGCGACATCTCTGCGGCATGTGCGGGCATGTGCGTCTATGATTTCAGAGTTTTGCTTGACCGTGCATTCGACTGTGCGTCGGACGGTGTGGCATGTGCGCGCATGTGCGGCAATGCTGTTGAGGCTTTTGTATATTTACATGTGCATGTGCATGCGACTGTGCGGCATGTGCCTGCATGTGCGGCCCCTTCCGGACCACAATTTCAAAGTGAGCACTATAGAAGTGAGCGCTATAGAAGTGAGTCCGGTGTACGTCTGCCCTTCGCCAGTCGTCCTGTGGTCTTCAACGGCCCTGCGGGGCCCTTCGGCGGCCACTCGGCAGCACCGCGGAGGGTCGAGGAAGAGCCCGCTGTACGAGCACAAGCGGTTGGGCATGTTAGAGCTCCGCGCGGGTCTCTCTGATCGCCGCTGGGCCCCCTTGGCGCCGCCCCTGGCGCGAGGCGGGGTCCGTCGCGGATTCGAGAGATCCGCGCGGAGCTCAGACCGCTTACGTGCACGCCTTTTTGCTCGGGGCCCAAACGTATACACCACCACCGCCTCACTCATCCCCTGCCTCTCCCAGGAAAGAGGAGAGGAAAATGTGGGTGGAGGAGGGAGGGGGAATGGAGGTGATGGTGGTGTATAGTATTGGGGCCCGCAGTTTCGGTCTGCCAGCTGCGTGGTGTCGCAGGGCAGCGTTCGCGCCGTCGCGACCTGGCCACCCCTCGGAGGAGCGCGACGCCGAGCTCCGGCAGCGCGCCGAGGAGCTGCGGCGCCGGGAGGAGCAGTGCGCGAGGAGCGGCCCGATCCCGACGACGACGACGACGAAGACGAAGACGACGACGACGACGACGACGACGACGACGACGACGACGGCGACGACGACGACGGCGGCGACGGCGTGTCGGCGACGGCGGCGGCGGCGACGGCGTGTCGGCGACGGCGGCGGCGGCGACGGCGTGTCGGCGACGGCGGCGGCGACGACGACGGCGTGGCGACGACCGCGACGGCGGGAGTGCCGCCGCCGCCGATGCCGCCGCCATGGACGACGGCGACGCCCGCTGCCCCTTTGTCGCATGTGGTTCCCGCCCCGTCGCCGGGCCCCCGACTTCAGATACCGCACAGTACTGGTCGCAGCATGTACTGCACACCATGAATCGCACCACACAGATTGCACCAGATAGATTGCACCGCGCAGGTACATATAATTTTCCCCACATCCTAAGTGGGGTTCTTGTTTTCTCTGCACACCCTCCGCGCAGGATCTCCTCCTCCTCCTCCTCCTCCCTCTCCTCTGCTCTTCTTTGCTTCCTCCTCCGCATCATCATAACCATCACCATCACTCCCCACTCATCATCATTATCATCACCATCAGCATCACCATCACCATCGCACGATCACTCACCATCATCGGCATCGAACGATCATCATCATCATCATCATCATCATCATCATCATCATCATCATCATCATCATCATCATCATCATCATCATCATCATCATCATCACTACTCGCTGACTTGAGGCCTGAATATGGAGGAAGTCTCGAGCGGGAGCTCGTCTGTGAGTGAATTGTGAGGAAGTCTCAGGCGGGAGCCCCCTCCCTATGGGGCCCGCACTTCATGTTCGAATCCGAGCGGGTCATCCGAAACGTGCAACTGTCGTCACTTTTGGGCTCTTGAGACCTGCATATGGAGGAAGTCTCGAGCGGGAGCCTCGTCTGTGAGTGAATTGTGAGGAAGTCTCAGGCGGGAGCCCCCTCCCTATGGGGCCCGCACTTCATGTTCGAATCCGAGCGGGTCATCCGAAACGTGCAACTGTCGTCACTTTTGGGCTCTTGAGACCTGCATATGGAGGAAGTCTCGAGCGGGAGCCTCGTCTGTGAGTGAATTGTGAGGAAGTCTCAGGCGGGAGCCCCCTCCCTATGGGGCCCGCACTTCATGTTCGAATCCGAGCGGGTCATCCGAAACGTGCAACTGTCGTCACTTTTGGGCTCTTGAGACCTGCATATGGAGGAAGTCTCGAGCGGGAGCCTCGTCTGTGAGTGAATTGCGAGGAAGTCTCAGGCGGGAGCCCCCTCCCTATGGGGCCCGCTTCCCGAGGCGCTGGCCGAGGCGGCGACGGCGCTGAGGAAAATGGATTTGCTTGCCCCGACGAGGGGGAAGGGGAGGTGCACATGGAGAAAAGGCAGGGGGATGAGGAGGGAAGGGGCATGGGGGAGGCCGACGACGAGGAGGAGGTGGCGCGAGAGGAGGAGGAGGAGGAGGAGGAGGAGGAGGAGGAGGAGGAGGAGGAGGAGGAGGAGGAGGAGGAGGAGAAAGAGGAGGAGGAAGAGAAATAGAAGGGGGAAGAGAGGGCAGTGCAGGGGGCGAGAGGAGAGGGTGTCCGCCAGGGGGAGGAGGAAAGGGCAAAGGGTAAGCTAAACAGATTCTCATGTGGGGTCCTACCGTCGGAGTAATTATATAAATATATACATCTGTACATGCTCATATATACACATGCGTGTGTATACGTAGATGTATATATATATATATGTATAATACGTTAATTTGTTTTCTACGACGACTAGCGTCGATTAGCGTCTGGGAGTCGATGAGATAGCGCCGATTTAGCGTCGACCAGCGTCGATTAGCGTCGAGTGGCGTCGATTTAGCGTCGACTAGCGTCGATTCGTACGAGCCGACAAGATAGTATGGGAGGCTCCCATGATACGTTGCATCTTCGGGGGGCCACGCCTGTTTCCAAAAGTCGTGTCTTGTCTTGTGCCCGACGCGGGCTCGATGCAGACTCGACGCGGATTTGGCGCGGATTTGACACGGACGTGACGAGTCCAGCATGGGTTCGACGCGGATTCGATGCGGCGGATGGGACGACGGGACATGCAAGGCCTTTTTGTGGCTGCAACGTACAGGGTGACAGGGTGACCTCTGGGGACCGGAGGGACGGGGGAGGCGAGTGGGTCTCGCCGTCAGCTTCTTCCTCTCAAGCGGGGGGGGAGGCGCGAGGGCGTGGGGACAGCGCCAAGTGGGGTGGCCTCTGGGGGCTGGGAGGGCCAGCTTCGGCGGCGAGCGAGGGGGGGGAGCAGGAGAGGGCCCTCGCGGAAGGCGGCGGGACTTCCAAGAAGCCTTCGCGCCTTCTGAGAAGTTTTTTCTGCACTTCTCAGGAGGCCCGCCCCCTTCTGAGAAGGCTCGGCCTGCTCAAGAGGGCCGAGCCTTCTGAGGAGGCCCGCCCCCTCTCGCTTCCCCCCCTGACTCGCCGCCAGATGGCGCAGAGCGGGGTGACCTCCGGGGACCCGTGGCACGGAGGGCCAGCTGCGATCGTGTGCGGCAGGCTCCGCGTCGTGTCGAGGCGGCGGCGGCTGTGTAGCGCGGACGTCCCAGGTGGAATGCCGCCCCCGCGGCCCCGATTCGGCCGGCACCGGACGAGCCGCGCCGTCGGAAGCTGCGATCGCTACAGGCTGAACGGTCCACGCGGCGGCAGGAGCCAGCGCCGAGGTCGTCACGGCACAAGCCTGCCGTGCCCAGTGGTTTGAGGATGGTGGTGCGTCGTGTGAGGAGGGGGGGGGGGAGGAGGGGCCCGGGGGGAGTGGGAGCGGAGCGGCTCGGTAGGCTCCTGGGGCGAGATTTGCTCCTTCGAGGCGCCAACTCAGCCCTCGGACAACATCGCCCTGCTCTCCCGCAGCGTGCCCTTCGGTGCGCGTTCGGCAGTTGAGTCCATTCGGGCTCCGAGCGGAAAAAAACAACGCCGCTTCCGACGCCGCACGCAGACGCCGTCGACGCCGATGCCGACGATGCCGACGACGCGTCGGCGGCGGCGGCGGCGGCGGCGGCGGCGGCGGCGGCGGCGGCGGCGGCGGCGGCGGCGGCGTCGTCGTCGTCGTCGTCGTCGTCGTCGTCGTCGTCGTCGTCGTCGTCGTCGTCGTCGTCGTCGTCGTCGTCGTCATCGTCGGCGTCGACGAGGTCGCCGTCGCCGTCGTAAGCGGCGTCGGCGGCGGCGTCGTCATCGTCGTCGGCGTCGCCGTCGCCGGCGTCAGCGACGTCATCGTCATCGACGGCGGCGGCACCGGCGGCGCCGTCGCCGGCGGCGCCGGCGGCGTCCCCGCGCCTCACAGGCTGGAGGCCGCAGGCGCCGCCGAGGAGGCGGCGGCGCGGCGCGCCGCTGTGGACCGCGAGGCCGGCCGCGCGCGGGGGCGGCCGCCTCGGCCGCCTCGGCCCCTCGGCGGCGGGCCCTCCTCGGCGGCGGGCCTTCGGCGGGCGCCCCTGAGCGGGCCCTCGGTCGGAGGGCCCCTCGGCGGCGGGCCTTCGGCGGGGGCCCCGCGCGGCGGGCCCTGGGAGGGCCCCATCGGCGGGCCCTCGGAGGGCCCTCGGGCGGCGCCATGGAGGAGGTTCTCCTCCTCCTCCTCCTCCTCCTCCTCCTCCTCCTCCCTCCTCCCTCCTCCTCCTCCTCCTCCTCCTCCTCCTCCTCCTCCTCCTCCTCCTCCTCCTCCTCCTCCTCCTCCTGCCGAGAGGCACCAGAAACGGCCAAGCACAGATTCTGGCAGTGCAGCAAGAACGTGTCGGCCACGCCCTATACTCGCTCAGAGTCTTTGGTTTCAGCCGCGCTGGCCCAGACGGACGCCACCGAGTGTTTCTGGCTACGCGGGTTGCTACCGAGCCAGTGGACCCAGACCCCGCCCCCACCGAAGGACACGGTCCTGGAGTTCACGGGCATCAACGAGCTCTCCGAAGGGATCTTCGGGGCGGGGAGCGCTGAGTCACCAGTCGAGATATTCGGTGACGCCAGTGGAGGACCAGATGCGAGCATCAGTGATTTCATGCGGATCGGAGTTGCCATAGTATGTGTGGCCAGCCTGCTGCCCGAGATCAACCTACATGGTGCAGTTTTCGGCCAGCTTGGTGGCCCGCGCCAAGTGGTGGCGAGAGGGGAGCTCTACTCCCTGTACCTCGCGCTCTGGTGCACGACCAGGTACCTCACCTACGTGACGGACTGCGAGTACGTTGCGGCGGGCTGGTACTCCCAAGCCTACCTGAACCCAGCAGGCGAGGACGCCGACCTATGGAAGCTCATCGGGGACCTGATGAGCTCACGCCGCCACGCCGAGGTGACGGTACTCTGGACGCCGTCCCACAGCACGGCTCAGGACGTTGCCGCCCAGACGGTGAACAGGTACCTTGTCATCGGCAACCTGCTCGCCGACGAGTTCGCGGGCTGTGCAGCGGCCAGAGCCAGGCTGCCCGCCGAGGTCCGCCAACCCATCCTGCTGGCTGAGCGGAGGGCGTACCTCGTCCGCTTGAGGCTCCTCCGAACCACGCTTGATAGCATGGCAGCCAGCCAGGAGGCTGAGAGAAAGGAAAAGGATGCCACCCGAGGCCCTGGGGGCCCTTCTGAGGTCCCGCCTCCTCCCGCTCCTCCTCCTCCTCCGCCTCCCTCAGCTGCTGCTGTTGCTGCCCTCATGTCCAGGCACCGTCTGGCCGACTGCGGCCGACGTTGCCTCTCCTGTTTCAGTTCTGCATCCCTCGCTACCGCTCAGGAATTCGTCGAATCTGAATGTCCTAGGCTGTACAATGTCGATGGGGTTGTGTTTTCGCCTTTAAAGGGGTCGCGAGTTCATATCGCGGGGGGTTGGGCCCACTCTACGCATACCCTGAATGTTCACCCGACCCTTCAGATTTGGTTTTGCACAGAGTGTGGGGGTATCGCGGATAAGGCTCTGCGATCTCTTAAGGGCCCCTGTAGTAAGAGGAAGTCCGCCACGGGGCAAGAGTACCTTGACAGAATTGCACGGGGGTTACATCCCAAAGTTCTGAGCCGAGCTGAGCAAGCTACTCGGCGTTCGAATGCTCGTCTGTCCAGGCCTTCCTAAGATTCGAACCTGCTGCGCAGCGGAGTCCACTCCACTCCACTCCACTCCTCCTCCTCCTCCTCCTCCTCCTCCTCCTCCTCCTCCTCCTCCTCCTCCTCCTCCTCCTCCTCCTCCTCCTCCTCCTCCTCCTCCTCCTCCTCCTCCTCCTCCTCCTCCTCCTCCTCCTCCTCCTCCTCCTCCTCCTCCTCCTCCTCCTCCCCCTCCCCCTGGATGTCCGCCGCGCCCAGGCTCCGCAGTCTGCAGTCTGCCGGGCTCTCTACATGCTCGGCGCGGGTGGCGGAGATCGGCACGAACGACACGGGCACGGAAAGAAGGGGCACAATGCCCAGCAGCAGTTCCTGTTCGTTCTGAGCGGGACTCGCTGTCCGCGCCGCCGCGGCCTGTGTCCAGTCGACACAGAAGGCCGCCTGCCCAACAGCGGCCGCTGTTGGTTTGGGACAACATTTGTTGTTGGGCATTGTACCCATTTTTTCCGTGCCCATTTCGGGCGTCCAAAGCGGAGAGACACCGTGCCGAGAGTGCCGTGAAGTTCTGGGCTGCCCAGTGAGACCGGCCGAAGCGGCTTCCCGCAGAAGGCACCCATGCGCGTGTGCGCCGGCTGGTCGGGCCAGACGGGAGCATCCTAGGGGCCACCCTCCCGGCCGAGGCACCCACATTCGGACCGAGGTATAGGATCGAGGTCGGTTCGGGGAGAGTGCCCTAGTGTCCCTCGCGCCCGTTGGTCCTAGTGAATCCTGGGGAGTGTACCCTTGGATGCTCTGTTTGTTTTGGCTGGCGGTGGGCCTCATGTTCTTGAAGGATGTTTTCTGGCCTAGGTTCGAGTGTAGGGTCTCGTGCCCGATTTCCTTATTTGGAGCGCTGGCGAAGCGTCCTGGCTCGCCTATAATTAGGCCCGCCGAACATGCTCGAATAGTCGTTCGTGACTTGCACGCGATGTTCTTCGAACATTGCTGGCTGTTATTCTTGTTTTAATTCAGCGGGTCTACGGGCTAAGGACACTTGCTTTGCGTCCTGAGAGCATTTTTGGGTTCTAAGAAGGACATCTCGTGGCAGGCCTATCGGACTGCCCACACGGTCGGTCCCTGCTCAACTTTTTTAGACTCTGGCGAGCCCCCTCGCTTGCAGGAGGGGCGACGCGGCGAGGCCCTGAAGGAAACCTGCGCTCCGCTCAGGTCGTGGGAAACGCCGTGCCAGGGGAAGGGGAAGGGGGAACGAATACCCATCGGTCGTTGGAGGTAGGCATTTCTGGATCCCCAGATTCCAATCCACTTTCGGCGCCTTCCTACTTCGCTGATCGAGTGGCTTCACCTCTTCCGTCCTCTTTTACGGGGGCGAGCGGACACACACAACCTACTTTCAACGCCTTCCCACTTCATGCTTCTGCGTACTTCTTCCGACCGGTGCGTATGCTCCTACGGCCTCGCGCGACCCGCCCAAACGGGCACGGGCACATGCGCCTCGCCGCGAGAGCCTGCACCGGCGCCTCGCTGCTCGCGCGTCGGCGGCGGCCCATCTCTGCGGCGGCGCCGCGTCGGCGACGCCCCCCGTGCGCCGTCATGAAGGAGGCTGGCCCCAGGGATCCCCGGCGCGCGCAGAGGCTCCGCGGGCCCTTCACGGGCCCCGCGAGGCCGTCAAGATGGACCAGCCAGGGATGCAGAGGTGGTCCCGAGCGAAGGCCCTGGAGGCCACATCTAAGTTATTCCGCGAAGCGTCACGCAAGTTTTTCCCCCGCCGCGTGGGCGCCCCCAGACCCCCACATGTCCATGCTGGTGCTGCACCGCATGGCTTCAGCAGTTTCCTCGGCGCCCGCGGGCTGGGGCCGCCCGCGGACGGGGCCGCGGACGCCACCGAACGTTGAAATTGGGGGCGAGGGGGGGGGGGGCGCAAAACTTGCGCCGAGTTTCGCGCGCCCGTCGGGGGGGGGGGGCTCAGCAGCGGGGCAGGCGGGAGCAGGGGGAGCGCCGCATGGGAGAGCCCCCCGCCCCCCCCCTCCTCCTCCTCCTCCTCCTCCTCCTCCCTCCTCCTTCTCCTCCTCCTCCTCCTCCTCCTCCTCCTCCTCCTCCTCCTCCTCCTCCTCCTCCTCCTCCTACGTTAAACAGACCTTCGGAAAGTATGTGTGGCGTTCTTGAAGGTAGCACACTGAAGACGTACGCGACTCGGCTCAAAAATCAGGACCAGGCGGGTGCCGCGGGCAACGTGGGAAAACGAGGCCAGGAAAAGAGTAGACAGTTGAGTAGGCGCCCGCCAGGTCCGAGAAGACGGCAGTGACCTAAGTGAGATAAACCCAAGATAAACCTGGGAGTAAGCCTGAGGTACCCGTGATGTTCTATTAGTAGTGCCGCCTTGATTGGTAAGATTGAGGCTGTAAAACATTTACTCTGCACGGGAGGCATAGCAGGGCCAGTGCTGTATAGGTCGGGCCTCTGGCGAAATAGTCCGTGGTATGGATGGTGTCCCTCGTCTGAGGGCATTGGCTTTCGAGATGAGCGGTGTTCCTCCCCCCTGTAAGGTAAAGTACCCGCACCATGCAGTCCCAGTCTATCTGACAGTACGTGGCAGGCTGCAAATTTGATAGGGAAGGGCATGTACATGGATAAGCCTCGGAGTGAGCTGCACAAGCAGGCTTTGCCTGTGTAGATACAGGCCTGCAAATTCGGGGATGCTGTAGGATCAGCCTGTGCTGGAATTGCTCGTGAGGTAGAGTAGGGGATGTAAGTGGAATGAATGTAAGGGCAACCTTGGCAGCGGCCCCTTCGGAGGACGCCCAGGCGGCGCCCCCCCCTTCGGCCGGTAGCCTCTTCCTCGGTGGCCCCTCCTCGGCAGCGGCGCGGCTGTGGGCGGCTGGTGGCGTCGCCGTCCGGTTCGTGCTCGTCGCCGCCGCCGTCGCCGTGACCGTCAAGTGCTGGCAAGCGGCGGCCGAGGCAGGGCCGCCTACGACCCTCTTCGATGCGATCCGATTCGCCTGCTGGGGCTGCGATTCCGATTCGAGTTGGTTTGGTTCACCGGCATCATCGGCCGAGGCCAGCTGGAGCCAGACGCGGCGATCCGATTTCGGTTCGATTCGGGACGGCTCGCTAGCGATCCGATCCGTGTCCGCGCGGGGATCCCGTCGGGGCGGACCGCAGCGCGCCTCGGGGTCGCGCGGGTTGCAGGCATTGTCGCCTGTATCCTGCACGCATCGGCGCTTGCGTCCTGCCGTCGCGGACGGCGCGCGCGTTTTCGCCCCGCCCTCCCGCTTCTGGGGTATCTGCATCCTTGGCGCCCCGCGCGTCGGCTCAGACTGCCACCGCCAGGCTGGGTGGCGCGGGGGGTGCCGCACCCCGGGTCAAGAGGGCGCGGGCGCTTTCGAGTACGGGAGGCTGCCGGCGCAGCTGAATTTTGTGTTACACACTGGGGGTTCACAGCCATCAGAGAGCTCCAGAAAGCACCACAATAACAATCGACGTCAGATGTTACTTGATCAGTTCAAGCGCTTATGTCATCTCCATGTGTCTGGACCTGGACTGTTATTGGAGGAAGCGCTTGGAGTGAATTCCATCTCCCAGCTTCTAATTTTCTTGACTCCAAGCAGGGGTGCAGGTTCTGAGGGCGCTGCTTTTGTTATCAGAACATCTGTATTGCTCTAGGAAAACTTCGTGGTCGGCCTTTGGGCCTACTTCGGAATGCGGGGACGGTCCTTGCTCAGGCAGCAAGTGGACCAGCCCCGATGGGGACCCAGACCCTCGACGTCATTGGATCCCAAAACAAGCGACACCACACCACCTACGGCCCTCCATGTTGCACTACGGCCCATCGGTGGCAGGCATGGCTATCATGACCTCGACCCCCATAGGTCTCGACTCCTTTCCCGGTTTGCCATCCAGCGTTTTGTGTTGACGGTCCCGAGGGCTGGTGAGGGCCCCCAGGGGCCGAAAACAGCAAACGATCGGCCGCCGTGTTTTATTGATTCGAGGGGTCTGGGGGACCGCTCTGCTACCGCCCTTCAGCACGCAGTCCCCCTCTTTGGGCCTTCTCTATGGGGTCGGAGTGGATGGGGTCGGTGGAACGCGCCGCGTCGCCGATGCATCGACGATACGGCTCGATGCGGAACCCGATCTTTTCCACGCCGACGTCGCCGACGTCAGCGAGGCATCAGCGATGCATTGGCGATGCGATGCGATCCTCTGATTCCATCCTGTCGGACCCCATGTAGGATGCCTCCACTCCCCCCCCGTTGCGCGGCGGCGAGGAAGCGCGCGCGCACGAGGCGGGCCAGCTGCACGCCGAGCGCCTCGCCCGAGCGGCCGCCACGAGGGAACTGGCGGAGTCCAGCAGGAAACGGGATCGCCCGGCTCTTTCCCCACTTCGGCTACTCGTAAGGGTGACCCTTCGCCGGAGTGACCTTTGACTTTTGGTGGGGGCTCATCGGTGTCGCTCCGATCGCCGAGCGCGGTGCGATAGCAACTGAGTGCGCGCCTGGATTTGGTCACCTTGCCCGCGTGTAGCCTATCGCCCTGGATGAGAGGGGTGCGTTGGAAAAGGGTGTGGTGCCACCGCTGAAATTGGCGATATTACGCATCGCCGATCGCATCGCAAGGTACACGATTTGCAAAACACACACACACAGACACACACGTACACACCTTTATGCCACACTCCTGTCCGCCCTCCAAAGTCACCCATGCCTCCCCGAGTCGTCATCGTCATGGTCGTCGTCGCCGTCGTCGTCGTCGTCGTCGTCGTTGTCCGTCCGCCGCCGCCGCTCCCGCCGCCGCGGCCGCCGCTGCCGCCGCCGTCGTCGTCGTCGTCGTCGTCGTCGTCGTCGGCGTCGGCGTCGGCGTCGGCGTCGGCGTCGGCGTCGGCGTCGGCGTAAGCGTTGTGCGTCCGTCGTTGCCATCGTCGTCGGCGTCGGCGTCGTGCTTCCGGGCGGCGGCGGCCCGTCGGTCGCGCGCCCGCGCGGCAGCCGTGTTGGCGGCGGCGGCGGGGACAAACATCGCTACGGACTGTTTTGCGGTAGGTTCGGCTTCGGAAAGGAGGAGGAGGAGGAGGAGGAAGGAGAGAGGAGGAGGAGGAGGGGAGGAGGAGGAGGAGGAGGAGGAGGAGGAGGAGAGGAGGAGGAGGAGGAGGAGGAGGAGGATGGAGGATGAGGATTGCGGAGGAGGAGGAGGAGGAGGAGGAGGAGGAGGAGGAGGGCTCTAGTTCATGGGAAAGGGTCCCTACTAGTTTCTTGCTCTCCTCTCACTGCTTCTGGGGGCCTTCACCGTGGTTCGGGACCGCTGCAGAACGACTCAGGACGGCAAGCCAGTCCTGGGGAATGGGTCGAGGCCTCTGGGGATCGACGTGGTCGACGTGACGCCAATCGTCATGACGCCAGGGGTCTGGGCAGCAGGGGCTCAGCCAGAGCGCCAGATCCTGCGGATGCTGCAGAGCCGGATTTGGGCTGGGGGTCTTCAAGTCCGGGGGGAAAGGGTGGTAGACTTGATCTTTCTTTAGAAGGAGAATTCGCCCTGTCGAATTTGAAGATGTCAACTCCACTGCTCGCGCAATCATCATACCCCCCACCCGCATCCTGTTTTGTCAGACCTATGCGGCGGCGCTTGCGATGATTGCTTGGTGTTGGCTGGGGCATCTCTGCGCCCGCGCTCGCCCGCGCACGCCCGCGCGCGCAGCGGCTAGCTTGGCGCGGCCGAGGCGGCCGCGGTGGCGCTGACCGCTGGGCACTTCCCAGCGGGCACTTGAGTGCGTGTGGGCGGCATGGGCGCTCGCGGTATCATGGCAACGTCGACAATGGTAGACACGATGGTGGTAGTAACGATGTTGGTGACGAGGATGAGAAAGACGACGGCACGGCGTGCGACAATCGATGTATTCCTACTGCTAGAACTTGCTAGAACCTAAGCGCGCGTGGTCCTAAATGTATGTGTATGTATGTGTGTATATATATATATATATATATATATATATACAGCGAACGGAAGGTGTATGTATGTGTGTATATATATACATATATATATATATATATATATATATATATATATGAGTAGGCCAGGGGGGGGAATCGGTGCAGTCACCCCCCATGGCCGCCTCTCCGAACCTTTTGGGGGTCCGAGGCTCCCCGGGACTGCCCCGGGCCGCTTCCAAATTGCCCACGACAGGCCACGCGGGCCGTACAGATGGTCAAGAAAGCCTCAGGAGGCCCCGAAGACGCCCAAGACCAAGAGAGAGCCCAGAGGGTCCGCGAGGGCCTCAAGAGGGCCTACAAGAGGCACAACTCGGCCCATTTCCTTTGTAAAACATGCGTTTTCGGCATACTCGCTGGCTTCGTCTTCACAGTGCCCCAGACGCCCCCGAGGAGCCCCAGCACGGGCCAAGAGAGACCCAAGAGGGCCCCAGACGGCCCAAAAGGGTCGTCCTGTGGGGCTCACAGAACCCCCCGAGACGGCCCAAGAGGCCCCGAAGCCGGCCCAGGAGGCCCCCAAGACGGCCTCAGGGAGGCCCAAGAGGGCCCCGTTCGCAATCATGTTCTCGGAAGCCTCTCCGGAAACATGGCTTCCGGGCTCCCAGGGCTCCCTACTGGGCCCCAGGACAGCCTCAGCGAGGCCCAAGAGGGCCCGAGATGGCTTCAAGATGGCCGAAGAGGGCCCCAAGAGGGCCTTCAAGAGGCAAACATCCGCCCATTTCTTTCGTAAAACGTGCATTTTCAGCATACTCGCTGGCTTCGTCTTCACAGTGCCCCAGACGCCCCCGCGGAGCCCCAAGACAGCCCAAGAGGGCCCAAGACGGCCCAAAAGGGTCGGCCTGTTTGGCTCACGGAACCCCCCAAGACGGCCCAAGAGGCCCCGAAGCCAGCCCAGGAGGCCCCCAAGACGGCCTCAGGGAGGCCCAAGAGGGTCCCGTTCGAAATCATGTTCCCGGAAACCTCTCCGCGATCATAATTTCCGGGTTCCCAGGGCCCCCTAGAGGGCCCCAGGACAGCCTCAGCGAGGCCCAAGAGGGCCCGAGATGGCTTCAAGATGGCCGAAGAGGGCCCCAAGAGCGCCTTCAAGAGGCAAAAATCAGCCCGTCCCCGTAGTAAAACGTACGGACTCGGCGCGAGACAATTGGCGACCGCAGCTGCCGTCCCTTCGTGCTGGGCGAGTGCGAACCTGGCGTTCGGTTTGGACGGAACGTGTCGGGCCTGTTGCCAATCGGGGCTGCGCCAGGTTAGGCCACCCCCAAGGTCAGATTTGGGAATGGGTCGTAGCAACACGACGACGACAACGACGACGACGGCACGCCCCAACAGGCTCCCCAAGACGCCCCAAACCCATGCTCCCAGAAGGCCTTCTGAGAACCCGATTCATACGGCCTCCGCCCTCCTACACAATCATTTTCCTCGAAGGCCTTTCGGAATGCAGATTGGTATGCGTGGACTGTGGTCCACTACTTCAGTGGAGCAGTGAATTCGTCAAGGCCTGGGGCCTGCTAGAACCTGAGCGCGCGCGAAGCGCACGCGATGGTTCTAGTGTATACATGTGTGTACATCGTCATGGCCCCGAGGCCCCGGGTCTGGCGCCCGATGTCGCACGGGAGCCCCGGAGGCTCCACCATGCCCGCGTGGCGCATGAGGCGCAGTGTCGCGTTGCCGTGCCAGTGCCCGCCCACCAATCCACCCCGACCCAACCCGAAGGCGTAATCTGCCCTCCATTTCCAGTGTGTGGGGGGGTCGGGGACCATAGACAAAAATACATATGAAGCCCGCCCCCCCCCCCAACCTGAAATTCGGGCCGTCGGGTTGGGTTGGTAGATGGTCAATCTTCTTGCAGTGCCACGCCGCAGCCCGCAAAATTCGGGGGCCCGCTGCACGCCGCCCGCTCTGCGCCCCGCAGACCTGCCCTCGAGCCACACCTTGCAAGAGGCTCCCAAGATGCCTCCAGAGAGCCCCCAGAGCCCTCCCAAGAGGGCGGCCCTACGATGCCGAGAGCATGGATCATCTGCAGGCTTCGAGAGATTGTGGCGCCCTTTCATCTGAAGGGTCCCCACATTCCGCGTCAGCCCACGAGACCCGCGAGATTGGCCCAGGACATGACCGACCGCTTCCTCGGGGCCGGTTTTTCATCCCGAGTCGGGTTTTGGGAGGAGGAGGAGGAGGAGGAGGAGGAGGAGGAGGAGGAGAGGAGGAGGAGGAGGAGGAGGGGAGGAGGGGGAGGGGGGGGGAGAGGATGGACCAGGAGGAGGAGAGGGAGGAGGAGGAGGAGGAGGAGGAGGAGAGGAGGAGGAGGAGGAGGAGGAAGGCCTGGCGAGGGCCCCTGGAGGCCGAGAACGGTCACAGACCTTGCGTCATGCTCTTTTGCGTCGTCAGAGCATGCCCAGGCAGGCGCGCGCGTGGACAGCCCTGGCGCCGCCAGGATGCACGGCAGCGCCGAGCAGCGGCTCGAACGAGCGCTCGTCCTGGAGGGGGAGCGTACCGTCGAGCTGCGCGCCCTGGAAGCCCGCGCCCTGGAGGCCCACGCAGTGGACCGGGAGCTTCCGCGGCCAGGGGGGGGGAAAGAGCAGGCAAGTCCAAGGCAACGATAGGGGGGGGGAAGCGTCGGGTTCGAGGTTCGAGGTGTTTTGACGTTTTCGTTGCTCACGGCAGTTTTCCAGCCTCGCGGTGCCTTCCAGCAGCTGCGGCTCGCCGAGAGCGTTCTGGGGGTGCCTCTGGTCGTTTCGAAACGGAGGCCAGATGAGGACCATTGGTCAAGATAGGCCCAGGGAGAACGCATCGAGCCCCAATCGCCCATGCATCGCCGAGAGGTGCGCGACATACCACCCTGCGCAGGACCGTCGTGCGGAGCCGCTAGTGGGAGCCTGTCGCCGACTCCAGCTCGATGTTTCTCCCCCTGAGCTGGTCCCCCCCAACGATCCTCCAGGGGTGGAAGGTGGAGGTTCGAGGATAGAGGCTCTGAGAAGTTTGTCATGTTCTGTGGCCTCCAGGAGGGTCCGCGACGCCACGGCTGGATTCCCCTCATATTTCTGGCCAGGAAGCACCCCCCGAGAGGTCTGTGGTCCAGCTTTCGACCAGGTTTCGAAGGTTTTTGACGTGTTCGCTGATTCGTGGAAGTTTTTCTTGCCTTGGAAGGCTTTCAGCAGCTGCGCCTTGCCGAGAGCGTTCCGGGGTTGCTGGGATCGTTACAAGAGGCCGCCCGAGGCCAGAGTTGTGGTCCGCAGGCCGGCATCCTCACGCAGCGGACAAAACAACACGGCAAGCGGATGTCGGCAGATTTTGGAGCCCTCGGGGGCCCTCACCGGGCCCCGCGGGGCTATTAGAAGACGACATGGGATGGAGAACCGGCTCACGGGAAGAGGTGCAGACCTCGGGGACGCCACGCTGTTGAACAAAATGACGGCGTCGGATGTCTAGGGAGGAGTCGGTCGGTCGGGAGCAGGCTGATGACGGTCGGCCGTGCTCCTATCAGGGGAGGGGGGAGGGCGGGAGGGAGGGAAGGGGGGCGGATGCAGCGAGGAGGACCGAGGGAGGTGGGAAGAGGAGGAGGAGGAGGAGGAGGAGGAGGAGGAGGAGGAGCAGGAGCAGGAGCAGGAGCAGGAGGAGGAGGAGGAGGAGGAGGAGGAGGAGGAGGAGGAGCAGGAGCAGGAGCAGGAGCAGGAGCAGGAGGAGGAGGAGGAGGAGGAGCAGGAGCAGGAGCAGGAGCAGGAGGAGTAGAGGAAGAATAGGGATGGAGGGAGGAGGGGAGGAGGAGAAGGAGAGAGCCATACGTCGAACCATGAGTGTGCGGTTCTCTCCCGCAGGGCGGAAGCCACCCCGCGCCGCGGGCCAGCACCATATGCGGGGCCCACAGCCGGGAACCGCAACGGCCTCTCTGCCTCTCTGCTACGACCTCCAAGCGTGGCCTCAGCAACACGAGCAGGAGGCACGACACACGTCATGACGGCCGCGTCTCTGCTTCCCTCTGCCCAGCTCCCGGCGGGCCCCCGCGCCCCAGGAGAGCCGGCAGGAGAGCCGGGCCTTGAGGGACTCCGGGCGGCGGCTGCGCGGAGAGGCCGAGGAGCAGGCGGATGCCCGCCCCGCGGGCTGGCCGGGCACACCGAAGCCCGGATGTTTGCGGAAGGCTTCGGGCTGCGCACAGGCAGCCCCCTCCAGCATGGTCCCGGCTGGCCTCAACAGGCCTCCCCGAGGCCTCAATTGGGCCCCCGAGTAGTCTGGGACAGCCTCAGCACCCTAGCCCCGCTGAGGCCAGCTGAGACTTCTTGGGGGGCCTGTTGAGGCCAGCCAGGACCAGGGGGGCTCTCTTTGCGCGACCTGGAGCCTTCCCTTGCCAGATCCAGCTGGAGAAAATTCGAGTATAGGATCGACTACATACCCCAAAATTCGCTTATTCGCCGAATCCAATACAAATGCGTGGAATGTCTGCAGATCAGCGAACATTCTACGGATGACTCGACGGGAAAATCAATTTCGGGGCCAAGCAAATCTGCAGTCGATTCCCCATTCGAGAAAAACAGGGCTAAGAACGGCCCATCAGCTGCGAACGAGTCTCCGCGCCCCCGCGGTGCGACCACCTGGGCGGTGGACCCGCGGCAGCCGTGGTCCGCCGGGCGCGGCCGGCGCCTCGCACAGCAGAGCAACCGCCACGGGTCAGCCCGCCCCTGCTCTGTCCCGGGGGTCGCGGAGAGCAGGCCCACGCAGCGGGGCGGGTCGGGTCACCCAGGGTCGGGTGTGGCCGGGACCCCGGGTAAGCCCCGGGTAAGGGGACCCGGTTAGCGGTAGGGCCCTGGGGCCCCCTCAATTGGCGAGATTTGCGAAACCAGGTTTGCCGTAACTGGTGTTTTTCGGGTGACGGCAGTTCTGGTTGGTGGAAGTGGGACGGGGGGGGCGCCCCCGGTACAAGTCGCTAAACCAGGTTCCACTATAGACCCAGTTCTCCCAACGCCCGACAGGGAGCCAGGGCTTGCCAGGTCAGGCCGTGGAGCCATGGGTCACCAGAGGAGGGAGGGACACCGACGCCGCCGCTCGTCCTGGGCAGCCCTCGTCGCCACGGCTGGCTTCGCCGCGAAGTCCCTGTCAGAACGCACCCGTGGAGAGTTCTGGGGAGTACGCTACCGGCATCGGCATGTTTTGTTTTCCCCCAGCGAACTCATAAGTTGATTTCGGTGGCCGTGCCCGGGTGCCTGGGTGCCCGGCGGTGCCCTGGTGCCCAGGTGGCCAGTGAGGTTCGTCGCCGATTTCGGTGGCCGGGCCCGGGTGCCCGGGTGCCCGGGAGTGCCCGGGAGTGCCTGGGTGCTCGGGGGTGCCCAATAGCCCATCAGCCCTATAGCCCTATAGCCCTGTAGCCGTATAGCCCTATAGCCCTGTAGCCCTATAGCTTTATATGCTCATCGCCCTAATAGCCCTATAGCCCCATAGCCCATATAGCTCCATAGCCCCATAGCCCTATAGCCCTATGGCCCTATAGGTCACAGTCCCATAGCCCGATAGCCCCATAGCCCGATAGCCCCATAGCCCGATAGCCCTATAGCCCTATAGCCCGATAGCCCTATAGCCCGATAGCCCTATAGCCCGCCTTATAGCCCGATTACAAGGGCGCAATTGGAAGATTAAACACATCTGATTCGTTGTTCCCCCAGTATCATTTGTTTTCTCCCACAGAACTCATAAGCTGACAGCGAGCACCCATACCTACGGTGGAGACCCTTGCCAAGAGACACCCTGCTGACCTCCCCGGTGCCCTGGGGTTGCTTCTCGGGTTTCGATGGTTTGGCTGTGGGAAGCGTGACGTGCACACGACAAACCTCAATGGACGTCCTGGGGTCTCAGGGTTGGGTCTCAGGGAGGAGGAGGAGGAGGAGGAGGCGGAGGAGGAGGAGGCGGAGGAGGAGCAGGCGGAGGAGGAGGAGGAGGAGGAGGAGGAGGAGGAGGAGGAGGATGAGGAGAAGGTTCTTTGTTGCCGAGCTCCTACCGTGCGGGCGTGCGCTGTTGGATGAGGGCCCCCCGCTAGAACGGGAGCCCCCCTCCGGGGCTCGCCGGCTCGCAGCCATATATCGGGGGTGGACAGACCTCCTACCCTGACACGTCGATTAAGGAATTGGCCGTTTGCCGTTCGAAAGAGGGCGTCGCGGCCGTCATTTTTGCGGGTCCAGATCCGTCGGTTTCGGTCCCAGGCTGTTTTCACTAAGGGGAGGTTCACTAAATGGAGGTTTGTCCACCGCCGAATATACCTACAGGTGCCCCCACCGCCTTGCCCTTCCACCGTCCTCCTCCCTATGGGTTCGGTTGCGCGCTGCTCTTTCCTCCGAGAGCAGAGGGTCTTTCGACCCACGGCGGCAGTTTGACCACGCGCGCCAAAGTCCTGGTTGAGCAGAGAAGTCGGCGGCGAGCGAGGGGGACAAGCGAGAGGAGAAGGCGGCGGGACTTCTCAGAAGCCCTCGCGTCTTCTGAGAGATTTGCTGTATCTTCGGGGAGTGCTTGGAGCAATTCTCAGCAGGCTGGGGGACTTCCGAACCTTCTGAGAAGGCCCGCCTCTTCAATAGGGGGGAACAATGGCAGAAACATAAAAAACTCGGAGGTCCGCGCGGATTTCTCGGATCGGCGCTGGACCCCCCTCCCTGGCGCGCGGAGCGCGCCAGGGGCGGCGCCGAAGGCGCCGCCGGGGAGCTCCAGCGCCGATGCGAGGCATCCATCCGCGCGGACCTCCGAGTCGTCGAGCGTATGCCGCTGCTTGCTCCCCCAAGTCTGCTCGTTTCCCCCGCCCCCCCCCTCTGCTCGCCGCCGACAGGTCCCCTAACTATGCTCTGCTCGCCTGATGATGCTCTGCTCGCCTGATTATGTCGCTATTCGCTCCTCCTAATTATGCCCTGCTCGCCGCCGAGAGGGGCCCCCGACCGCGGGGCCCCCGGGGCCGGGCGGGGGGGGCCCGAGCAGCGGCCTCCTGCAGAGGCCTCCCCTTTGGGCAGGCTCTGGGCGGGCCCCCCGAGCCCTAACTACACCCCCCGGCCGCTGGGGCCGCCGGGTTCGCGGACGTCCTGGGTGCAGTCGGAGCAAGAGTCAGACAGAGTCGAGAGATCGTCTCGGGACGATGTCTCTACGGTAGGTCTGCGTCGTGTCGACCAGCGGCGACCCCAGCGCGGACGTTCAAGGCTGAACGCCGCCGGCGACCCAGAATCGATCGATGTTGAACGATTGGACGTTGCGAAGACGGCCGATCGTTCAAGGTTGAACGATCCCGCGCGGTGTCAGGAACCAACGCCAGGGTCGACACGGCACGGACCTGCCGTACGACGTGTGACTATTGTTCTACGATGTCTTGACCGTTGTGCCTTTGCTTCGCAGATCCGCCGGTCGGAGGACGTGCCCGACCTCACTCTTGGGCCGCCAGGGTCGCAGCCGTCCTGGGTTCAGTGGAAAGTTCACAAATAGTCGAGAGATATCGGAGGATATAGTTCGAGGATATCGGTTCACTGGGAAAAATCACAAAATTTACAAGTACTCTGGATCCTTTAATAATCGACCCCCCCTAAAAAACCTGACCCCCCCCTTCCTTCGCGACATGATTTTCCGGACCCCCTCCCGCAGAGGGCGCCTTAATATTCCGGACCCCCCCCCCAGCAAAATTGCAAGCGCGACGACGACGACGACGACGACGACGACGATACGAGAACTACGACTACGACTACGACGATGACGACGACAACGACAACGACAACGACGACGACGACGACGACGACGACGACGACTATGGGCCACCATCCTGCAACGTGTGTACTACGGGCCACCATCCTGGAGTGCCACCCTGCAGATCACTGCCACCGCCGCATCATTGCCACCGCCGCATCATATCGTGATGATGGTGATAACGACGATGATGAGGATGATGACGATGATGTTGAAAATGTTGTTGATGATGATGCTGATGATGATTATGATGATGATGCTGATGATGATGTTGGTGATGATGAACAAGATGATGACGATGACGATGACGATGACGACGATGATGGTGATGCTGATGATGATGATGGTTAGTACTCCGCGGGCTATTACCCAAAAGGCGCCCTAACAAACCGGACCCCCCCTGAACGTCGGCTTCAAGAAACGCCTTAATAAAACGGACCCCCCTGCTTCCCCAAAAGGCGCCTTAATAAACCGGACCCGGGGGACGATTATTAAGGGATCCGGATTAGTCGAGGATAGACCTCCTGCCCGGACACGTCGATGAAGGAATGGACCGTTTTCGGTTCGCGAGATGGCGTCGCGGCGTCATTTTTGCGGGTCCAGAGGAAAATTCACAAATAGTCGAGAGATAGCCTGGGTTTGAGGTCGCTTGGGGGGCAGCGCTGTTTCCAGGGCCAGATCCCAATACGCTCAGCCGGCGCGCTTGATCCGTCAATCGCAATCCTTACGGCACCCATTCGCGACAAGGTCGGACCTTAGGTTTGCTCTTACCGACGATTGGGCTGCTTAGGTTTGCTCTTACCCTACGAGCATTGCCTCCTCCTCCGTTGCCCCAGAAACACAGATCGCGTTCGCTGCCCCTCAGCGAGCTGAAAAGTCAGGGGACGATTTTTCTACGATGTAAGACTTGTTTGAACATGTTTTGACCGTTGTGCATTTTCTTCGCACAAATCCGCCTGTAGGAGGACGTGCCCGATCCAACTCTTGGGGGCTTGACGCCTTTTTGTTTCGCGCCTCCTGGAGCGCCCTCGTTGACACGGCCAGATGTCTCTCTAAATTCGGATCCGAGCGCTCCCCAAGACAAGTCCTGTGGTCGGGTAGCAGGGGCGCCGGGAAGAAAAGGGGGGCATTGGAGGAAACGGTGTCACAGACGCCGTTGGCCGTCGCTAGGCTCACCCCGGGCTGGGGGAAGGCTTGCTGTCTTTTTGCGCTCCTGGAGCGTCCTCGTGGCCAGTGCTGGTTCCCCGTCGAAGTTCAGGCCAGCAGCCGAAGAGAGATCCAGAAGTGGAGTTATCCTGGCCGCCATGCGAAACATTGGTCCCAGAGTAAAGGCGTCCGTGAAGGTTTCTCCCAGTTGTCGGGCTCCGGGAGCCCTCCCCGGGCCGCTGGGCCGTCAACAAGATAATCCAGAATGACACGCCGGTGCTGCGAAAAAGCAACTGGATCGGGCGGGTGGTAACGGGGGGGGACCTACACGGGGGGTGAAAAAGACTGCCCGCACTTTAGGGCTTCTTTTGGGCCCGTGCTGGCTCCCAAAGGGGGCCCACAGTGCCCCTTGAGTGACCTTCTCTTCACCCCCTATTTACGTCACCCCCTATTACCCCCTATTACCACCCCCGCCCGACTGGAGTCGGGCGTTGATTAAAATGGGAGTGGCGTTCTGTGGGGGGATCTCCCTCCCTCGCCCTCCTCCCCTCCCTCCTCCCTCTCCCCCCCCCCTCGCTCGCTCCTCCTGCCTCGCCCCCCCTCCTCCCCCTCCTCCTCCTCCTCCTCCTCCTCCTCCTCCTCCTCCTCCTCCTCCTCCTCCTCCTCCTCCCTTGCCTCCCCTCCTCCTCCCTCGCCCCCCTTCCCTCCCCCTCCCTCGCCTCCCCTCCTCCTCCCATCCCCCCCCTCCTCCTCCCTCGCCCCTCCCTGCCTCCCCCGCCCCCCTCCTCCCTCGCGCCCCCCTCCTCCCCCTCCTCCCTATCCCTATCCCCTCTTCGCCCCTCTGGACGCGCCGCTGCTGCCCCCCCCCCCCCCCGTCGCGGCAAGGGCCCTCGCGCCGCAGCACGAGCGCGACGAGAGGTTCGTTTGGGCGTTCTCGGCCTCTGCGGGGGCCCCTGCCTTGCGCCAGGAAGCACCCTGCGTGCCTCCAGGGTGCCCCGGGCTTTTCTTGGGTTTCGACGGTTTTGCCACTGAGAGCGGGACGTTCCCGCAGCAAAAATCCATGGACGTCCTCGGGTCTCAGGGTTGGGTGTCTTGTGGATGGTTTCTTGTGGTCGGGCCCCTACTCTAAGACTCGAGTAAGCCGGAGCTCGGGTGTGCCGACGTTTTTTTGACGACCGAGTCCCGGATTTTGACGGTCCGGTTTTCGCGGGTCGCGTCAAATTTCAGATTGGGTCTCGTCATTTTCATGATCGCTCCGTCAAGCCAACCTGGGTCCCGCATATCCGCGTCTTACGTCTCCCCGATTGGGTAGTGATCGTTTTCCGGAAACAAGAAGATATATACACTACCAGTGGCGGGCCGTTTTTCGATTCCAAGACCTTCTGAGGGACGGGGGCGTCGCCGGTGCGGTTGGTGTATTCTTGTTGCCCCGTTTTCCACTAGACGTAAGAGTGACCCTTCTCCGGAGTGACCTTTGGTACGGGCACAGATGGGTCCCCAGATGGCTGAAAGCGAAGCAGGAGCAGCGGCTTGCGTGCCCAGGTTTGGTCACCCCGCGGCCCACAAAAAGCCGCGCACCAAAGGTCACTCTTACCCAGGGTCACTCTTGCGTGTAGCCGACGTTTTCCCAGGGACAACGACACATGTACACACCAGGGTCCGGCACACACCAGGATCCGATTTCTGGTGCGAGTTTCAGTGCGGGGCTGGGAAAAGCGTCGGTGTATAGAGTTCGGTTCCCTAGTTTTCTTCTTCCCCATCCGACGGTCGTCGTTTTCTTATTCATTGTTTTGCCGATCGGCGCGGGACCTCGCACTCCCTCCCTCCTTTCCCATGGAGTAGATCTTGGCTGTGTTCTGATCCAGCTTCAATCAGGTGGAGTTTCCCTCATAGCACGCACTGTTGCAAACAGTCGCATTAAGCAAAGGTCTGGAGCTAGACCCCCTTCCGCCCAATACCGAACCACCGAATAAGACAGCGTTCACCAGACTGGGGCCGCCGTTAGATTTGAAGAACAGACCTCCCGCTTCGCGCCACTCTGCATGTGGCGGCCGCCAGATCCCGAGGTCCCCCGAGTGTCCTCGAGAGTACCGCCTCGCGCCACTCTGCATACCGCGGCCGTTAGATCCCCAGGTCCCCCGAGTGTCCCCGAGTGTCCCGCCTCGCGCCGACGAACCATAACACGACAGAACGGTAGTATAACATTGCAGGGCATAGTACAGCACAACACTATAAGCTATGCCAGATCATAGCAGGGCACCATACCACAGAACATACCATACCAAGACAACGTATCGTAGCATAACACACCATGGAAGAGCAGTGCATACCACAGCACAGCATCACATCACAGAGCATCACAAGACATGACCAATCAAGCATACCATAAGGCACCATTACCATACCTGAACATACCATCATATGACATGTGATGACCTCACATAGCATGTCATAACACACCATAGTATAACATAACGTAGCAATTCATGCTGTGCCAGATCGGAGCATGCATAGCATAACACAGCAGGGCATATCATACCCTATCATGTCATAACGTAACGTATTATCACCTGACAGTGCACAACAACATAACACACCATCAACTCACATGTACATGGCATGTTGTATCGCAGCACAGAAGACACACCACATCATGACATGTTGCGGCATACGATGTTTCACTCTAAGCAGAACAACATATCATACGCCCATACGTTATGCCACAACGGACCATTCGGACCAGAGCCTCACACCACACATCATAACATAATACGACATTTCATACAGGTAATTACCATGACTGGAACCATCATACCACAGTATACCATGACAGGACATATCACACCGTAGCATTGCATCAAAGCACATCGCATTCCATAGCAGTTCAAACGAAACTTGCACAGCCGAGTGTTTCGGTGGGGATCGCTCGAAGCAACATTATTCATTGTTTTGCCGATCGGCGCGGGCCCTCGCACCCCCACCCTCCCGCCCGATGGAGTAGATCTCGGCTGTTTGGGGCGCCTGTTTCAAGCAGGTGGACGGCTCCCCATAGGATTCCCAATCGAAGCATTGTCCCAAACAGTCGCACTGAGCAGAGGTCCAGAGCCAGACCCCCCCTCCCCCCTCCCCTTCCGCCCAATGTCGAAACGCTCAATAAGATAACGTTCACGCAACTGGTCTAGGCCTTTGGGGGTCGACGCTGTGAACAAATCATGACATCGGGAGTCTGGGTCCACGGAGGAGTGCCGGGGTGGGGAAGGGGGCGGGGCCGCAGGGTGCCAGCTGCAGACCTGTGCAGCGACCCCGGCCAGGCCCGTCCTGGGCCCAGGATCGGTGCCTGCGCCCCCTGGCTCGGGCAGGAAGGCGCTCACAGGGGCCGCCACGAGGGCGCGGAGCTAATCGCGGCTCGCGCTTCGCGACTCCTCATCCTCGGCGGCCTCGTCCTCCTCCTCCTCCTCTCCCAGGGGTGGGGCGGCGCGAGAGAGCGACGTTGCGAGCGCTGCGCGCAGCGCGAGGCGCGCCCTGCGCTGCCCTGCCTGCCCTGCCATGCCTGCCTGCGACGTCATGCTCTGTTCGTGACGTCGGCCCTCGGAGGTCTCGACCCCTTCCCGGGGACCGGTTTTTTTTCATCCCGAGTCGTTCGTGGACGGCTCCGGGGCCCGGCGAGGGCTCCCAGGGGCCGAAAACGTACTGCGAAACCATCTCCGTCACCATTCTCTTTCACGACGAAGGCTGCGAAAGACACTCCGTCACGGTTTTGTTCGCGACTCGAAGGGGGTCTGGGCTCACCGATCTTTGGCCCAAGATCGGCTTGGTCAGGATCGGTGCACGGTGTGCGGCCGGCGCCTGGGGGAGAGGCTCGGTGCCCAAGAGACGGGGTTCCATGCAAACGGGCGTCAGCAGGCGCGCCGGATCTTGCAGGCTCCTGCAGGGCCAGGGCTGCACTGGCCCGGGGTTGGGTGCATAGGGGGCCACATGCGAACCCTACCCCTATACCCCCCGCGATTTTTGAGGGGGCGGGTGGGGTTCACTTCGCTCGCGACCTCCCGAAGGAAGTGAACCCCACCCTCCCCCTCAGAAATTGTGGGGGGTAGGGGTAGGGTTCGCATGTGGCCACCTAGTGCAGGATCCTGCAGCATCCTGCAGAGCTTGACTGACCCGGGTCAGGATGGACGCGGGTCAGAAGGTCCCCGAAAAGGGCGGGGGGAGCTCCCGCCGCCAGGCGGCGCTGCTCAACGCGTGCAGGCAGGAGAGCGAGGCGATCCGCCGCCGCCTTCTCCCCCTCCGTCCGCGGGAGTCCGTGGTTTCTGACGAGGGACAGGTACCCATACCGCTGCCCTTCCCTGGCTTTCGCCTTTTTTCGAAGCTTCCTAGATGGGGCCCGAGTATATGGGGTCGGAGGATCGCGCCGAATCACCGATGCATCGACGATGCGTCTCGATGGGGAGCCCGTGTTTCCCCACTCCGACGTCGCCGATGCAACGCTGGCATCGCCGATGCATCGCCGATGCATCGCCGATGCATTGCCGATACATCGGCGATGCATTGGCGATGCGGCGCGATCCTTCGACCGCATCTACTCGGACTCCATAAGGATGCCTCTATTGTTGGGCCTCCTGGGAGGCTCTCGTCGCCACTGCTGGATTCGCTTCGAAATTTTGGTCAGAACGCACCCCGGGAGAGGTCCAGGGAGTATCGGTATCGGTACCCTTTGGTTTCCCCATTTGTGTGTGCACGCGTCGGAGGAGGGAAGGATGGAGGAGGAGGAGGAGGAGGAGGAGGAGGAGGAGGAGGAGGAGGAGGAGGAGGAGGGGTAGCAGACGGGAAGGTCGCGCGCGCAGTGGCGCCGCGCACGTGCGCGCCGCCCTTGGGCGAGGAGGCAGGCGCGGCGCTGCGTTGGCCCCGAGATCTGGCCCGCAGCCGCGAGGCACGGCCCCCGCAGCGCAAGCCCGCGCGCAGTGCGTGCGCCTGCCCCACGGCCAGGTGCCTCACGGGGGCGGGGCCGTGCCCGCCCCCGCTGCCCCCACTCGGGTGCGCACGACCTGACCAGGCCGGGGGGGAGGGAGGAGGGCGCCGCTCGGCCCTGGCCCGTCTTCTCTCTTCGCGTTCGCTCGCCCGTTCGCCCCGCCACCGTGGTCCTCCGTCTGGAGGGGCATGAGTGCGCGAGGATCATCCAGATCGAGGGGAGGAGGGGGGGGATGCAGGCGAGAGGTCGGAGGAGGGAGGAAGAGGAGGGAGGAGGAGGCGGAGGGGGAGGTGCAGCAGCAGCAGCAGCGGCAGCAGCAGCTCAGCTCAGGGCCGTCGGTGTCCTGTTCAGGTGGCCTGTGAGCAGTTCGACGAGAGGGATATGAGAGGGACACGAGAGGAGCTTGTGCAGGAGGAGGAGGAGGAGGAGGAGGAGGAGGAGGAAGAGGATGAGGAGAACGAGGAATTTGGAGGACGAGGATGATGACAAGGAGGGACTGAACGTGCTACCACCTCGCGGTGGCGGGGCTCCGGGCGAAGCTTGAAAAGCCCTGGACCCGAGACGAGAGGGATGGGTTCGAGAAGCAATATGCAGAGGCGATGTGAGGAGGACAAGTAAGAGCACGAGGCGGGGGGAAGGAGGAGGAGGAGGAGGAGGAGCAGGAGGAGGAGGAGGAGGAGGAGGAGGAGGAGGAGGAGGAGGAGGAGGAGGAGGGGGAGAAGGATGAAAAATAATTGGAGACCCAGTATAATCAGAAACTGTCGGGGGTGGGCGGGGCGGGAAGAGGAAGGGTAATGAGGGGTAGGAGGAGGACGAGGAACCAGAAGTCAAGTCTTCCTGATCCTGCGCCCCTGAAGGAAGGGAGACAGGGGCACGAGGAAGAGGAAAAGGAGGAGGAAGGAAAGGGAAAGCAGGAGGAGGAGGAGGAAGAGGAGGAGGAGGAGGAGGAGGAGAAGGGGGGAAAGGGGGGAAAGGGGGGATGAGGAGGAGGAGGATGGGGGTGGAGGAGGCATGGGGGGATGGGCGAGGGAGGGGGGGGGATGGAGGGGGGAAGCTGGAGGAGGAGGAGGAGGGGGGGCGATATGGAGGAGGAGGGGCTCCAGGAGGCATGGGGGAGCACCAGCAGCACGCGCAGAGCAGCTGGGGGGGCCCTCCCTGGCCCGAGAGGCCGCCTCCCGGCTCGAGGCGCAGGAGGCCCGCCTGCTCCTCGCGAGCCTGCGCCAGGACGCGCGCTGGGGCCTTCCGCCGGCCCATCCCCCCGCTGCTCGCCGCCGCCGCTGGCCAGCGCCGGCCAGCCCTTGCCGGAGGGGGGGGATGTGCCAGGCTGCCCTTGCATCCTTTGTGCCGCTTCGGCCTATCCTTAGCGGTTTTCGCTGGCCACCCTCGTTCGAAGAACGTCTTAAAATGGCCCTCGAAGGCCCTTGCCGCGCATCCTGATTATACGGGTTGGCTGTATCCCTTTTGTTTCGGGGCTGAAGAGACGAGGGTCAATGCAACCAGGGGTCAGTCAGTCAGAGCGCCGGATCGTGCAGGGTCCTGCAGGGCTAGGGCTGTACTGGCCCGGGCTTGGGCGCATGATCCTGCAGGATCCTGCAGGATCTAGCAGGATCCTGCAACGCCTGACTGACTCGGGTCAGTAGATCCCTGAGGGGGCCAGCAGAGACAGCCCCAGACCCCCTCGCTTCGTAGCAAAGAGCCACAACGGTAGGTTTTGGGGCGTTCTCGGCCGCCGGGAGCCCTGGCCCTGGGACAGCCCAAACTCCATTCGGGATGGAAAACCGGTCCCGGGAAAGGGGTCCTCATCTCAGATGGGGCCGCGTTGAAGATTCCCGACGTCGGGGGTTCTGGGAACGGGTGCTGAGGGCAACTCGGAGGAGGGCCAGCCGCAACAGCGGCCCTGCCTTGCGTTTCGCGTCCTTTCTGGGCCTCCTCCCCCTCGGAGGGCGCGAACTATACGCCTATCCTGGCTGGGCCAGGCCGATCGGTGCATGTGTCGTCGTGCCCCGGCTCCAAGCCTGGAGGGCCATGTACATCAGTGTTGGGCCCAGGAGCGGGCCGGCCAGGATCGGTGTGGACGTATAGCTGGCGCCCTCCGAGCCTCCTGCTTGCCCCCCTCTCTCCAAAGCCGTTTTGGCTCAGGATGCCTCGCCCTCCGCCGCGCATTAGCCCGACGTCTCGGAGCCCCCAGTAGTCGCCGCGCCCCGCGCGCGCGCATGCCGCCTTCCGCCAGCGCGGCAGCGGTGGGGCCGAGGGGGCGATGGCCGCCCACGTCGACCCCGGCGACAGGACTTTCCTGTACGCCCTGCGGGTGGCGGAGGTGTTCCTGGCGCCCGACGCGGCCGACCTGGAGGGCCTCGAGGTGGTGTGCCAGTGGAGCGTGCACGGGGAGCGGCACAGCACGCAGGCCTTCCCTCTCGGCTCGCCCCTGCTGGGCGACTCCTGCGCCTTCCTCGTGGCGTCCTTTGCGTGCCCGCAGGACCGCTCGCTCTACATGAGGCTGGTGCTGTCGGAGCCGGGCCACGTCGAGTCCGTGTGCGGCGCGCTGGTGGACCTCGCCTCGCTGGGCGCCAGCGAGGCGCCCCAAGAGGGCCTCGTGCCGCTGCGGCGCGGGCCGCGCGTGGCCGCGACGGCGCGCCTGCTCACGGCCGCGCAGCGGCGGTGGCAGCGCGGCGCGCCCGTCGTGCCCCGGCCCGAGGCCTTCTTCGCGCGCCCGGGCGCGGACGAGCAGGCCCGCGGCCTCCTCGCCCGCCTGGACCCGTCCGCGGCCGCGGGGCCCGCCGCGGCGCCCGCCGCCGCCGAGGAGTGCCCGCCGCCCGCGGCCGGGCCGCCGAGCGCTCGGCGGTCCGACAGCGAGACGTCGCAGCTGCTCGCCGCCTACCTGGGCGGCCGGCGCTGGCGCGGCGCGCGCGCGGAGGGCGCGGCGGCGGAGGCCGCGGCCTCGAGGGCCGCGGCCTCGCCCGCGCGGGCCGCGCCCGGGGAGGCGGCGGCGGGGCGCTGGGCGCCGGGCCACACGAGTGGCCCGCGCGCCGCCGCGCCGCTGGGCGGGGGCGCTCCGGGGAGGCAAAACCCTTGGGCTGCACGTAAGAGTGACCCTTCGCCGGAGTGGCCTTGTGGTGCGTGCGGGCCCACTGGGGTCCCCCGATCGCTGAGAGCGGCGCGAAGGTAGCGTCTTGCGCGTTTGCGTTTGGCCTCCCCGCGGCCCTCCAAAAGCCGCGTATACCAAAGGTCACTCTTACCCAGGGTCACTCTTGCGTGTAGCCTCGGCTACACTCTGTGCCTCCCAGATGTGGTCCGAGTGCATGGGGTAGGAGGACTGCGCGCCGCATCGCCGATGCATCGGCGATACGGCTCGATGTGGAGCCCGATTTTCTCCACGCCGGCGTCGCCGATGCACCGCCGACGTCGCCGATGCATCGCCGCTGCATCGCGATGCATCGCCGATACCACCCCATCTGGGAGGCCTTTTATACATGTAAGAGTGACCTTTCGCCGGAGTGAGCTTTGTTGCGGGCCCGCTGGGATCCCCCGATCGGTGACTGCGTACCGACAGCAGCGGCTTGCTTGGTCCCCGCGCGCACCTCCGAAAGCCGCGCGCCCTGCTTCACCGGTCACTTACCTGAGGCCACTCTTCACGGAGCCGAAGCCCTGAGAGTCGGACGCTGCAGCTTCTTCACGCTGGGCGTTCTCGCTGGATTTTGGTCCCCAGTGCCTTCGCAGAGCGATGCGGCCCCAGAGACGGCGCGGAGAGATGGAGTCCATAGGGCCTTGGTGGTGATTGCCGCGATGTTGCACTTGTCGCTGCAGCGCCGGATCTCAGGGTGTTCCGCTGCTCGCCGTGGTGAGCCGTCGTCGCCACGGCCCGGTTCTCCTCGGAAGCCTGGGCAGAATACGCCCCGGGAGAGGTCCAGGGAGCATCGGCATCGGTACCCAGGCATCCTCCGACATGATCTGTTCAGTCCGGAGCCCGAGCGTCCTTCCTTCCCGAGCGCCTGCTCCTGCTGGCGTCCTTCCTGAGCGCAGTTCCCGTCCCGTGGCAGGCGGGGCTGTTGGCAGGCTCCCCCGTGGAGCGTGGCCCACGGCCTCGGCAGCGCCGTGCTGCAGACCTGCTCCTCGTGCCCACCGTCCCACGCCTGGCAGGGCTGGAGGAGGAGGAGGAGGAGGAGGAGGAGGAGGAGGAGGAGGAGGAGGAGGAGGAGGAGGAGGAGGAGGAGGAGGAGGAGGAGGAGGAGGAGGAGGAGGAGGAGGAGGAGGAGGAGGAGGAGGAGGAGGAGGAGGAGGAGGAGGAGGGAGGAGGAGGAGGAGGAGGAGGAGGAGGGGAGGAGGAGGAGGAGAGGGAGGAGGAGGAGGAGGAGGAGGAGGAGGAGGAGGAGGAGGAGGAGGAGGAGAGGAGGAGGAGGAGGAGGAGGAGGAGGAGGGAGGAGGAGGAGGAGGAGGAGGAGGAGGAGGAGGAGGAGGAGGAGGAGGAGGAGGAGGAGGAGGAGGGAGGAGGAGGAGGAGGAGGAGGGAGGAGGAGGAGGAGGAGGAGGAGGAGGAGGAGGAGGAGGTCCCGACTGGTTGCACCCCCGATGCTCCTTGGACCGCCCGGGCCAGCGGGCCCCCAGATATATATAGGCCGACTTCGAGGAGCAGCGCCGGGGCTGAACAAAAAGCCAAGCCCTCGGAGAGATTTGGGTTCGGTCGGAGCGAGGTAGAAGATCGAGGTCGGCTCGGGGTGCTTGTTGGATGTGAAGTCTTCCACGTCTGAGTGCTCCTCCTCCCCCTCCCCCCGCGCGGCCGCCCTCGTCCTCTTGCTCCCTCTTGCACGCCGGACAATATTCGCGCCTTTAGCCCCGAAGAGCCGCGCGCCTCTGCATCTGCCTCGCCGCCGACGATCAAATAAAAAGTGTGTGGGGTGTTCCTGTGCATCCTGCGGCGCGTACCCTTGATGGATGCTCTTCTGTCCGGGGTGCGACGGTAGTCCCCCGCGAGCTTCCCCAGGCGCGGGCGGCGCGCGCGGCGGCGCGGACGTGGCGGCGGACGTGGCCTCGGCGCTGCTGGGGCTGGCGGGGTGCGCCCCCGGCAGGCTGGCGTGCGCGGAGGGGCTCTTCTCCTGCCGCTGGGGCGGCGGGCGGCAGGAGGACATCGTCGAGGCGCCGGCGCCCGCGCGCGCCTCCGAGGACTCGAGCAGTGGCGAGGCGTCCTGGCTCGCCTAATAGCCCTGCCAAGCAATGCTCTAAGAACCTTTTGTGGTCTCCACGACATGTTCTTAGAGCATTTCTGGCGGAGTCTGTCTTGTTTTATCACCTCGGGGTTATGTTCTAAGAACCTTGTTTTTGTTCTTGCATGTCGTGGTATAGGGCTATAGGAATGCCGGGACGGTCGGTCCCTGTTCAAAGGACAGCGCGGAGCCGGAGGAGTTCCTCGCGCGCGACCTGGAGGTGCACTGGAGGCGCCATGGGTCCCACGACAAGGCCACGCTGCACGAGATCTCGCCGTCGGTCGTCGACGGCCTGGTGGGCGACGTGGCCCTCTGACTCGCACTGGGGGGCTCGATTGGGTCCGAGCCTGGGGAAAGCACTCGCCCGCCTGCTCGTCTCTTCTCCTCGTCCTCCCCGCCGTTTGGAGGTCTGGCGCTGGCCGCTCTCAGCGTCCTGATGCGGGTGTCTTGTGGCCGGGGCTGTGGCCCAAGAGCCGAACTGGCAAGAGAGCTACGCGAATCCGGCTCGTTGCCAGCGGAGGGAGGGCGATGCGCGCCCAGGTGAGGGGTGCTACCCACTCTCCTCATACGTTCCCACTCTGTTCTGGACAGGGGGGAACACTTAGTGGGCACGCCCCCTGTCCCTCGAACTCAAAGTTGGCACGCGCGAGGAAGACTGTCGTCGAAGTGCAGCTCATGCAACCCGCCGCCAACATTGGCCATTGGGGGAGGGGCATCGCCAGCTGATTGTGGCACGAGTGTTCGCTACTTTCTTCTGAGGCGTGTATCGCTCCACGTAGTCATCCTCCTCTCCCCGTCAGCATCGGCCCCTGGACCCTGGGTCTGTCCTTGAGCGAATCCTGACGAGGATGTCCAGGCGGCTCCAGTCATGGCGACGGGGCCCCCTCCCACAAGGCCCGGACGAGGAGGAAGATGCCAGATGAGGGAAATGGAGGGAGAAGGAGGAGGAGGATGGAGAACGCAGGAGGGAGGAGATGACGTGTACGAGGAGGACCCAAGAAGAGGGAGGAAGGAGGAAGCTGTAGCGCCCTAATTTCCGTGCCCTCACCAGTCTTCTTCCCTGTAGCTTTGATTGCTTGTGTTGTTCCCTCGATGCCCAGATGGCCACGGGCTCGTCGAACGGCTCAAGGACGTCCATCATCGAGCTGTGATGCCCCCCAGGGCCCGAAACCAGGCGAGATCGCCCAGCGTGAAGAACTTGCAACGCCCAGGTCTCCAGGGGCCGCTGCCGACACGGGCGTCGCCGCGGTCGTCGCCGAGGGGGGGTCGTGGCCCCCCCCCCGTGAGCCTGCGGCCTGTCCGCTGGCGGGCAGACTGCGGCCGAGACCCGCCCGCGGCGCGCCCAGGAGCGCGAGGCCGACGAGGCGCGCCGCTCGGCGGCAGAGGCCCGCAGCCGCCAGAGGCCCCGGCGCCCCAGCGAGGGGCTCGCTCGCCGCCCCTCGATGCCGCGGCCGGTGCGGGCCCCCCGGAGGCCGGGACACGGACGGGCCAGGTCGGGGGGGGCCCCAGCCGGGGTGGTGACCACACTGAAGCCAGTCTCAACGCATTCGGGTGCTTCATAGAGATTCGGGTGCTTCATAGCGATCCTCCTCCTGCTCCTGCTTCTCCTCCTCCTCCTCCTCCTCCTCCTCCTCCTCTTTCTCCTCCTCCTCCTCCTCCTCCTTCTCCTCTTCCTCCTCCTCCATCTCCTCCTCCTCTTCCTCCTCCTCCATCTCCTCCTCCTTCTCTGTGGTGAGTCGGTGGGGAGTCGGGGTCACCGCACGGTTTTGGGGTCGTGGTCGTGCTCCGAGGGTGTCTCGGGCGGCCGGGGCCTCCGGGGTGTCCCAGGACCGTGCGGCGACGGGCTCTGCGGTGAGGTCCTGGGGGATGTCGAGGTCACCGCCGGGTCTGTCCACACGGTTTGGTGAGCCCTGAGTCGGGAGCCTCGAGACGGGTCAAGGCAAGCGGGGGTCAGCCAGAGCGCCAGATCTTGCAGGGTCCTGCCAGAGCTGCGTGGACCCAGGTAATTAAACGCGCAAGATCCTGCAGGATGTCGCAGGATCCTGCAAAGCCCGACTGACCTGGGTTTGCATTGACCCGGGTCAGTGCGTCCCCGAACCAGGACCGCAGCAAGTCGGGGAAATGGCACCCTTTCCTGCGAAGTCAGATTTGGTCGTTCTGCGGGGTTCGTGTCTATGTCCCGGGTGTAGGGGGGGAGCAAAGGTTTTTAGCGCCTTGTGCGGACTTATTCCGGGAATGTTGCCGTGCAGTTGATATGGTCGTGCTGCCATTTGGAATCACTTGGTTTCGAGGGATGTTGGGTAGCTTGGTCTAGTGTGTCTGGGTTTACGGGGCCCTGCTCGGTCCCAATTGGGATGAGCGCGGGGGTTGCAAAAGGGACAGGGGGCTTGTTAGTGGATGCCAAAGTGGTTAAATTATATCTGGCCTAATCTAGCCTACAAGTGGCCTGCTCATGTCCAGGACTCCCAGATGGGATTCGAGCAGATTGGGTCGGAGGATCGCACCGCATCGACGAAGTATCGGCCGTGCGGCTTGATGCGGAGTTCGATTTTCTCCACGTCGCTTCGCCGATGCATCGGAGATGCGGCGCGATTTTTCGACCTTTACTCGGACCCCATCTGGGAGGCCTCTACAGGTTGGAGATAGATTGCCTTAAATGGTCTCCGCACGCTTAGCGGAGCCATCACCCCCCCGAGATCTAGAAGCATTTGTAGCCCATCTATGAGCTTGGTTGGTCAAGCCAGGTAAAAGCCACCTTGGCATTCACTGATGACCTCCCTGTTCTCTTAGCAGTCCCCGCTCCCATCCCAGCAGAACCCCTCACGCCCTGAAAGAGCCACGACCCGGAGGTTCTTGGACGCTTGTGGCCCTCACTGGGCCCCTGCAGGGCCGTCGAGAGACGACCTCTGGGATGAATAGACAAGGCGGCTCCGGTGAAGCCCAGATGCTGCGCGACCGATCTTTTTGGGTAGCGGATTGATGCGCGCGTGAGAATGGGTAGCGGACCGGAACGAGAGCAAAATGGGTAGCGCGACCGGTTTTATCATGCGTCAATATGGGTAGCGCAATCATGATGCGGGAAACGCAAAATGGGTAGCGATCAACAATCGCGCGCGCTAGTGTTTGCCCCGCAAAAATGGGTAGCGAAAAATGGGTAGCAACTAAATGCAACGATAACCGTAAGACAAACGTAAGACAAACGTAAGACACACGTTTGTCTTACGTTTGTTGGGTGTGTGTTTTACGTGTGTCTTACTTTTGCATTGCGTTTGTAGGGTTGATATGTTTGCGCTTGCATTGCGTGTGTCGTATGTGTCTTAAATGTAGTTTCCACTTGTTGTCATGAATTTTCTCTTGCGCATGTTTCCGTGTTTCTTATGTTTCGGGACAACCATAATGCGCGCATCTTCCTGAGGGGCACGAAACATGCGAGGGCCCCCCTCGGCCAGGGAAGGCCATGGCGGGGTCGGCGGGGGCGGAAGTAGGCGTGGGAGGTGGGCGGTGGCAATAAGATTGCGAGGCCGACAGTCTTCTCTCCACGAGGTTCGGGTCTCTGCCCCGAACGTTAAACATTCACTTGCGTGGGCACTCCCACAGAACACCTAGAAAGAAGGGCGCGAAATCTCGAAGTCCATCCCCCCCGCGAGCGGAGGGACAGGTTTGCAAAATCTAATCTTTCTCGTTTTCGGTATCCTCTTCGCTTTCGGCATCTCCTCCAACCTCACCCTCTCTCCGCCATCCCGTTCCTTCTGCCGTCGCTCCCCGTCCCCGCCCTTGACCCCCCCCCCTCGCGCGCCCTGTTCCTACCCCCCCCACCCCACTCACCGCTCCCGCCCCATCGCCCTGCTGACTTGTTCCCCACCCGAGTGCCGCGGCGGCAACTGGCGGAGCCACTGATCTACCTTCCAATCCTCCAGCGTTCGCACAGTTTGCGGCTGCACTGCAAGGGCGAAGAGCCAATTTGCACCGTCCCTGCTATTTTTACAACGTGTCGCATGAAATCTTCTGCCATGTAGCACCAAAGCCACCTCGGGTTCAAATACGTGGCGGCTTCTGCAATGTGCCACCACATGTGGTGTTTGTTAACTATGGACCATTTTTTCCTATGTTCATCTGTCATCGAATGCGACGCGAGGGCATGATACATGATGAGCGATGTTTCGACGGCGTCTTGCAACTTTTGTGCAACGGCCGCGTCCAAAAACATTCCAGATGAATCTAAGCAATCGTAGTATGTGCATAACGATTCGCAACAAAGGGTTCGCATTCTTCTAAGATCAGAACCGTCTTCATAATCCTTGCTCAGTTGACATATCACGGGAGCCAGCCAGCGCTGTTGCGCTGCTTTGATTGCTTTCTTTAAAACGGGGTACTGGCTATGTGGACTTTTCAGATTCGCAATGAAACTGCCCAACCCAAAATGTCCGCCCGCCAGGGGCACCCTAGCTGTCGGGCACGCGGCGTTTCTTCTTCCCCGTTCCGTGCTCCCTTCTCCCCCATCATCAGCGTTCCTTTTCTTGTTGTATTCCCTTTTCCCCACCCGTTTTTCCATCCCCTTCCCCATCCTTGAGTTGACCGCCTCCTTTCACCTATCCTCTCACCCTTTTCCTGAGTGCCTCATACATTTCCCCCCTTTTCCCTTCCCCTCCGCCCTCCTCACCCTCTCCCCCCCTCGCCCAGGGGTCTGTCGGGCGCGCGTCTGCAGGGGTAAGTGATCCTGTGGGGAATGTTCCGTTCGTCGTAAATCTTTCGAATACGTCTCCAGATCACAGCGCACGCCTCTGCAGGTGATTCGTCCCGTTGTTCATATATGATCTCTTTCAGGATATTCCCTAATATATGCGAACACGTTCCTTGATCCACCGTGTGCATTGAATCCAAACAAATTGATTCGCCAGTGACGCCCCACACACGGAACACATGATGTGTAAAAACATATGACACCCGCCGTCGAAATCGCATCCAGTGCCGAGGGAATTGCTCTTTGATGAAATTGTTAAATGGCAGCGTATCTCTGTTCGCTTCGCAGAGCCAGCACATCTGCGATTCGTTCGGCCACGGCGTCCCCAGGTGCGAGCTAAAGAATTCCATGTCCCCTGGGGCGACTGGTCGCAACGATAGCCACTTCCACAGACATACACAAACAAAACATACACTTCGACCCCGAACCCGAGGAATGCTGCACCAGAACCGCACATTGAACAGAAAATCTGCAACCCAAAACTTGCCGCAGAATCGATTTTAGACGGGGACCAACGTGGCGTATCCATTGCAACCACAGCCTAGGACGCCGTAAATAAATCCTCTGTATGGCAGCGCAGCTGAACACAAATAGTGGCCAGCTCTCTCGGCATGGCGCGAACCCTCTGCGAAAGGCCTGTTCTTCCAATCCGCCGCCGCGACCAGAGTCGACACCGAGCTGTGAGAGTTGTCGCGCTGTCTCGCCGTGTCTCGCCTTCCATGGCCCCCCTCCACCGCCCGTCGCTTCTATCGCCCTCCCCCCGCCCCCTCCCTCGCAACTCCTGCTCATTCCTCATTCGGTCGGCGACATTGATATCCGCGACGCTCGTCCGACCAGGGGCGCGCGGCATGGCGAAGCCAGTGAATCTGTAGTTGGGTATTTCCCACTTGCGAGAGAATTAAGCGACCAGGCTATGACGTCCCAAATTTCATGCCATGTATCCTTGTCGTCATGTGTTTGTTTGGCCTGTATTGAATATGGCCACCCTGTCACAAACATGTTCAACGAACGAGTCGACCCCACAGCGAGCAAACTCGTCCACGAAATGCACATGAGAGAATCGTTCGTCTGCATCTCTGCACCGTCGCCATGTATACGAAGGGGGATCGCGTGGGCACGGGCGTTATTGCTGAGGTGCCATATTGGATGATTCTTCAAACGCGGGTCGTCTTTAGATGCCCCTTCCCAGAATTTCGGCAAGTGGTCTACACCGTAGATCTCATTAAATACTTCGCGATGGGAGTGGAACATAGATGCAAACATCTCGTGGGGAAGCAGCATGCTACATTCGGCCTTCACTATCTTATTAGTCCTGGGCTCTTTACAATGAACATCGAACGTCTCGGGCTCGGGGAGCGCGTTCCCTCGCAGATATTTGGTCGTGGGTTGCTGATGAATGTTTTGCGGGGCCGAGCCCCGCGAGCCCATGGCCGCAATGCTAGCCAATTCAGGATCCCTGGCCCCGTCCCCGTGGGCCGCGTGTGCATATGTTTGGAGGTCCGTGCCAAACAATTTTCCCCATGCCCAATCTTTCAATAGTATCGACGATAACGCTGCATATGTCGGGCGGCCTAATTCATCTATCTCATCGCGTTCGCTGGAGTCGGAATCTGGCGGTGTGTCGGGCTCTAGCCGCCTCTTGATGCATCGCCTCATGGCAAAATGCCTGGGCCAAACGGCATCGGGCGCCTAGAGCGACCAGCAACGGTTGCG